GTGACCAGTGGACTAACTGTTCTTGTGTTAATATATTCTAGTCAAGGTGCTAGAATATAATAAAGTAGTAAGGAATACGAACGTTGATACCTACAATATCAGTTAAATTGATGTTGAATTGAAACTGAAAAGTCAATTAACCATAAATTAAATTCAAATTAATTAAGATAAAAATAACCTTCAGAATTTACAATGAGATTGAGTGATCATCTAGCAGTCAATGTAGTAGTCCACTCAAGCAAGGCAACACTATAAACTACACTCAAGTGCTTTCAGTGAATCTTAATCAGTGTATTCAGTGCCAGAATAAATTGTTAGGGTTGCCATAAGTTTTCTACTTCTCATAGCACTGACAGTGTCATTAGTTGCAGTCGTAATAATTTTCTGCTTATTGAATCTAGGACAATTGCTTCAAATTATTCTGAAGCACACCATTCTACAAGGAAATATATACAGACTGTCCCAAAAGTCCCGGACCGGTTTGATATTTTCCAAACGACAACAGATAAATCAATAATATTTTGCACATCAACACCAGACTTAAAAATCTACTTTTTTAAGGAACTATCAATTTTCTGTCATATCATGGGGACGTCCCACAAGGAGTCAGAAGGAAATCTTAAATCGAAGCATAGGTTAATATGCACATCAGTTTAAAGGGCTTAGATAGCAGAGTTCAATGCCGGAAACCGCGCCTCAAAAGGACCACCCGTTACAAAATGGCGGCCGTTCAAAGATTTCCTGAACCTGCCATTTTGAATCTTTGAACGACTGCCATTTTTTACTCAGGCGTTCTTTTGAGCTTGAATTTACGGCATTGTAATCTACTAGTGAAGACCTTTAATTTGATGTGCATATCGACCTATGCTTACGTTAACAATTTTTTTCCGATTCCTAGGGCTGTGCCCCCAAATGCAAATTAAATGAATCTTTGATTTGAACCACTGTCATTCTTGACTTGGTTGTCCGTTTGAGTTCAAATTTGCAGCAATATATTCTGCTAGTAAAGACCTTTAATTTGATGTACATGTCAACCTATGCTTCTATTTAAGATTTCCTTCTGACTCCTTGCGGGACGTTCCCATGATGTGACAGAAATTCGACATTTCCTTAAAAAAGTAGATTTTTAGGTGTGGTGTTGATGTACCAAATCTTATTGATTTATCTGTTGTCGTTTGGAAAATATTAAACCGGTCCGGGACTTTTGGGACAGTCTGTATATCCTCCCTCAAGCTATAAGCCCACATTGATAACTCTCTCCTTAGCCAAAGGAGAGATGATAAGCACACTTGTTACACTTTTTGGAGGATACCTCTCAAGGGTTTGGAAAAGTATGTACATTAAAATGTTAGTGTATATAACGGGACCAGTGACTCATAGTAGCACACTCTGTCAGCCGCTTAGGTATATTGTGTGCTAGGTTTCAGAGTGTGCTTCCTTCAAAATTATATTTTCTAAGTTTTTGATACTTTGATGAGGAATAAAACATGCTATAGTTTATAGCATGATTACTAGAAAAATACCGGTATGGATCATTAACATAAACAAATGACGTTTTTGGCCCGAAAATAAACATTATTTAACATTGCTTAAATGGAACTGCCAAATCATATGTTCAATGCTATTAGTATAGGATTCGGGCCAACAACGTCATTTTGTTTATGTTTATGATCCATACCGGTATTTTTCTAGTAATCGTGGTTTATAGTGAAGATGTCCTTTCAGTTTGTTTTGGTATTTTACATGAATCATACTTGACAGTAGCAAGCTCTGGTTGTACGCTCAATTCATATTAATTTCTTTATTCTAAAACTGGATACAACAACTGCAATAGAATCGAATGTCTTCTGACCATGGTCCAAGCTACAAAACAAAAATAATGTTGTTTGCAGTAGTTTGTTTCATCTATTGTTATTTAGAGTTGGGAACATGCAATGTTGTTTGGCAGTGTCATTGTTGTATAATGTGTTTGACATTGAGACCCCTCAGCATGCAATCAATCAATCCTCTCCTGGCCCTCCTTCCTGTATACAACAAGGACATCCTCACTGCTAGCTACTGCACCACACGCACTTCTCTGTAAAGTACTCACTTTCAAAGTTCAAATTCACCTTCTAATTCAAGCCTCTCATGCAGTTTGGTCCAGAGGATTATTGTAGTTGAGACCATTGTTGTAATTTTACAATTATGACTGTTTAACCATTTTTACGCCACATAAAACTGTTTCAACGAACTTCCCACCTAAGAATTTAGTACAGAAAACAGCTGTTTGTCACCAGCTTAATCAAATAAGGTTTCATTACGTATTCCTGTACTGTAATGAGTTTTTACCGACACCACCCAGCTGATTATATTGGCAATGAGTGGTTATAATAAAAAACATAGACTCTCTTAGTGGTTATGAGAAGTGATTGTTAGTCCTTTACTCCTTTAGTTGGTGGTAATTATAAGGATTTGTTATTGATAAGTTAAAAGCTTAGAGTAGTAATAATACTGTAGAGGAGTACTAACCAACTATCTAATAAATACTGAAAATCCATTAAAAGAAACTTACCATTAGTAATTAGAAGAACTAACTTAGTATTTGGGGCCATATTATCCAATAAATATATCAAGGAAATGGGCAAGGGAGTGTCATTTGACATTTTTCTATTGAGAACGAATATACGTGTGTGTCAACTATTCACATCCTACTCTATGTTTGTTATGAGTTTAAAAAAAAAATAGCCAATAGTAAATAAATAATACTAATGATACAGAGTTGTGTCACGTTGTTAAGCCGAGAAAAACTAAGCTCAAACGGTGCAATTTATAACAAGAGGTATGTAAGTCTGGGAAATCTTAGCACAGAAAACATACAATAGTAGTATGTTTTCTTTGATATTAGCCAACTAACTTTTTCTCACTCAAGCTATTGTTATTGTTATTTATGGCTTCCTGTGTTCAACTAAACATCCTGACATCCTGTGTCCACCCCAGTCAACTCAGATTTAGAGTACCTCAGGGGTCATTTCTTAGTTCTCTTCTCTTTTTGTGTTACCTCAGACGCATCACCAATGATGCACTTGTTCACTAAACAACAAAACAATATTTACCTCCAGGTAGATTGTTCTAATTCGATTATTTCATCAAACCACAGAAAAAACTGAAGTAAGCGTTAGTTGTCCTTGAAAGTGTTAGCGTTTTCAAAACAAAATTAACTACAAAGAAAAATATGCAAAATAAATTTTACAAGATATAAAAAGATTATTTCTTCAACCTGGCATATTATTCCTTTTAACGATTTTCCACTTCTCTTGGAAATTGAAATTACTGTACTACTATTCATATGTAAATACCAGTACCTAGTTTTCAATATTATTTTAATGTAAGATATTTGTGATATTAGCGAATTTCCCATATAGGGAATAAGCTATTTTTTATTGGTAGTAAGAATCTGGTGCTCTCAATTAACTGTAACATTGTTTAAAGTGTGAATATAATAGTGTAAAATTATATTTACATTGTCATATTATTTTCTGTTAACCAACAATAAATTAAAGACTGATTATTGGTTACACATGCTTGTCCTGCCACGGGTGTTAATTCTGTCACTCTTAGTTGGAAGGTGGAGGGGGGAAGTGTTGTCATTAGTCTAGTTAACCCATGTATCATCTACAGATAAACATAGTAGTCTAATAGACCAGTGCATATTATTTTTTCTCTCCGACGGTAAACAAAATTACCGTAGGTAAGTTTAATGATTAGAACGTCACCATAACACCCTGTAGCATCTGAAACATTTTAATTCTGACATGTAAAAACTATGTCCAATTCCAATACTGCCACTAAGCAGTGTGCTTGATCAGAGCCATATCCTATCCTATACTCTAATATGAGCAATGTTTGCTTGAATACTTGCTTACACAAAGATCTCGAAAACAACTTTGACGATTTTCTTCATATGTTGTAAATAGTTTATTTCTGGCCTAAAAACGTGTTTACTGCAGTTAGAACTGCCAACAAAAATCTAATTACGTGGAAAAATAAAACTGAAAGTCACAATTTTTTTACATGGGTCTTATGGGTTGCTAAGTAATTATGTTGATTGAACAAAATAACAAGGACAGGACACAAAAGTTAAATAACAAACATTGATGAAATTCTTTTTTAATCTGAAATGTTGATCACTATATTTATAAGAAACCTCTTAAATGGATAAACGGATAAAGTTTTAAAAACATTATCCAATTTTTTAAAACATACCGTACCTAATGCTCATCTGTAAAACAATTATTAACATAGTATTTAAAAAATAAAACTGCTTCTTCTTTCTCAATAAATATGTCTATTTGTATATGTAACTCAAACTATTCTTATGCTTGTGCTTTATAAATAACAAAATGGAAGCACACATAATAAGAACATTTCTTGGGACATGTGCACTTTAACTCGTACAAGACGACAAATTGGTGTTCAATAGGTTATTTACAAATTCAAAAAAAATGTTATAAATTTATCAGGCAATAAATAAAGGAGGTAAGCGATGATTCTAATACCTATACACTAGTTTACATCAAACCAACTGTTTTAATATTATGTATTATTTTTATTAAGTATCAAGCTCATAAAGTTGATATAATGTCTATTTATACAGCTTACACAGAAACTTTTAAAAGTAAAAATATTTAAATAGCAAAATATTAAAAAATCTAAAAAATATAAAATATTATAACATAGTTTCTAAACAAAATTTGTTTTCAAGAACAGACTGGCATTTCGAATGTCATGCAAAAAACACAATCTATATCATACAAAATAGCTAAGAAAGTCTAAAACCTGAAAAGTTTAAAAAAATATATATTCTTAACAAAAACCAGCTACATTTGTTAAATTTCATGCATGAAAGTACTGGATATGTACCCAAAACGTATTATTTAAGCTTGTAAAAACTATTAATCGATATTACAACACACGCCACGAGCAACAGATAAAAGGAAGAGCAGACTAGTTTCAAAATATTTGCGACTGATATCCATATTTTATTTTGAAATGAGATAATACTTAAGAGTCTTTAGAATGGAAATTGCACTATTGGTCTAAGCTGTTCGAAGGATGATATGTACACCGGAGTCAGTGTGGACAGGTTCACTGAGTTCGCCGATTTTCAGAGCAAAAGCCGCCTGTTCAAAGGGCTTCTGCATGGCGCCATGACCAAAGGGTCCCAGATCACCTCCGCGCTTGGCAGAACTGCAGTCCGAGTACTTCTGGGCTAGCTCGGCAAATGACGCTCGTCCGCTTACTATTTGCTCTCTGTATGCTGCAAATGTAAGAATAAATTTTTATCTAGGCATCCTATCAATTATTTCAATTATCAGAAAAAACCTGATTGTTTAGAACTTAGTCAGTCACTATCATTGGTACACCAGTTTATATTAGGTTCCTTTTTTTAAAACAAAAGAGAAACAGGATGATTCGTAAGCATACGAGTTTTTACTGTAATTTAGGGGAGATTTTATTATTTGTAAACTCTGACAGTCAACAGACTGATCTATCTTGTTAGTGAGATTAGTATTTTTATTATTTGACAAGATGTGACTGAAAGCAGTGAGGACTCGCTATTGTTTATTGGTTAGATATCTACACCTTCTCTGAACTGGTTGCAAAGCCCAGTACTAAAATTCACTGTTGTTAATAGTGTAATACTAAAATCTAAGTACAAGTTGCATGGCCAGGAGAAATGCTACTAAACTCACATTTGACTTGCTGCAGTGCCTCTTCGGGAGACCGTGTGATGTTGTCCTCTCGCCAGGAGGACGGACGTCTTGAGTTGACGTGTTTGACCAACAGATGACTACACTGTACCTGGTCTGGACCACTGCTGGACACCGGCTCAGCAGGCTTCTCAGGCCTGTCCCATTGTGATTCCTTTGTGTAAACATTCAGGTAGTAATGCTGGCCTGTAACAGCATTGAAGGTTGTCAGAAATATTTTTGATTCTTATCAATAGATAAGTCATAATACAGTGTAAGAAGCTTAAGGTGTTATGATTCAGAGCAGGGTCTCTCACTACTAAGTTCTCCCCCTTACAATGCCGTGGGGCGCATTCAATAGATAATAATAAAGAGGGGGTGGCTATTGATAGGAAACAAACATTCACACAGTACATCCAGTTTGTATGATTTACATCTATATTTCCGATTTGTAAATCAACTATTGCATGTGCCCCACCTACGTTTTTATTTTAAATCTTACATGTATTTTCATAGCTACAACATATTTACAATAACAAATTGTCTAGACGATCTATATGTGGAGAGAATAAATTATTTAATAATTTTTAGTGCAATTAAAAACGTGGTATTTTAAAAAGTGTTTTTATTTATGAATTATTTTCCTAACATTGCAAAAATTTGACTAATGGTGATTATTGGGGAATATCCAAAGATATTTGCCAAGACTTAATTAAATAATTTATGTGTTTTTTGGCCCAAAGCGCGGGGCCCTGTGCAGCACCTATAAAAGGCTCTGATAAAAAGTATGTCTAGACACTGGATATCAATTAATCTAGGAAATGGGTCTTTCAACTCTTTTATTTAAAACCTAGTAAATGTTTTCTTAGATTTGCATAGCAATGTGAAGTATATTGTGGACTGATTTTATCAAACTAGATAAAATGCTATCAAGCTATCTAGTACGGAGTCTAATGGTAGCAAAAGGTGGTACACAATGTCTTCAACATCTTGTTCAAATGGTCTTTTCTACTAAACTTGAAACAATTAATTTTGTTACAAAAAAATAAACTCCCCACCTTTTCTTTTAGCATAACCTTTGGCTATTGATACAACTAGACATTCCATCCCATTTTTAAGTTGTCGCCAGTTTTTAAATAAAAATTGTCACAGTTGGTGTGAGCCACCGACAGATTTCGCTGATCTAAATTACTAATCTCTGTCCAAGGGATGTCTACTTCAGTATCCAATAGTCAGTGGCTATACACCTTTACAATGAAAATTTTCACTAAAGTTCAAGCTAATAGGCCTTAACAAGATATATTGATTATATATACAATGTTTGGACACTTAGTTTATAGTTTATGTCATATTCTCATACTTTGAGCTGGACATTTTTGAAGTACCGTAATTGATTTCTTCAGTTTTTTTTTGTGTATTTGGGATGTATTCTGAGGATTGCTTCACTTTCACTACAAACAAAATTGCAATAATTTGTTTTTTTCTGATTACTAAAAAAACTACAAGGCTTGTCCAGAAAGTAAGTACCGTTTCGTTCTACCGCTGGCACAGCTCTAACAACGATGTTACGGGCATGTGCAATAGTATCCTTGGTTTATTGTTGAACAGCTGACACAATGAGGGAAAAATTGAGTTGTGTTTACATTAGTTAGTGTGCACTCAAAATTTTTGAAACAATTTCTGATCCCGCGGACTGTGAAGTGCGTTCTGTAATACGATTTTTGAACAGAAGAAAAAGTTATCAGTGATGGAATGTTAAGAAAATGAGTTCGGCAATTCAATGATGGGGGAACCAATGTTCATGATGAGGCTCGCAGCGGGCAGCTGAGTCAGGAATTGGTTGAAAAAGTAAATGAAAAATAAGAATGTTTTCTGATGAATTCCCACAAATTTCAAAATCTCTTTTGCATGATATTGTGGCTTGAATTATCACAAGATACGTTCCCGTTGGGTTTCGAAAATGCTTACGGCAATATTTCTCTTCAATGGCGGCATTTTTCTGTGAAGGGGGTTTAGAAAAGTTGATTCCTCGCTACGACAAACGTCTAAACAATAGTGGAAACTATGTCGAATATCCTCTTTCTTGTAGAAATAGATTTTGTGCTTTTTAGCGAATTTCCCTATAGGGAAGTAGCTATTACCGTAGGTGGCACGGTAAGACCTAGGCCCGAGACCGATTTACTTTTTCATTTTGATGTCCCCAGAGGCCAAAAACACTATTCGTTCAAATTTTTATATATGTATATATATATATATATATATATATAGATTTATATATATATATATATATATACGTCCGTGAACGCGATAACTTGAGTAATTTTTGTCCGATTTTGATGAAATTTGGTTTAAAGGTGTAAAGCGGGATAAACTTGAATGAGTTCGCGAACCAGCACGATTGGACCATGGGAACGGGGCTTTACGGGGGGTTTTATGGGGTAAAAATTGGTTTTTCTCACTTTTGACCCTCAAAACACAAAATTTCCCAATTTCTCTTTAGACCTTTTTAAAGAGCTTAAAAAAACAAATAATTTAGTATATAAAAGTATTTTTGTTCGATTATTAGTAACGGAGAAAATTTAAAAAATTGTAAATTCAAAATTCCCATGTTATTCTTATGGAGAATATTGTCAAATGTTGTAGTTTGCTTGTTTATGAATATATTTTGATCAAACTTGGCAAATTTATTTATTTTCTACTAAGCTATCAATATTATACTCAAAAACACACTTAAGTTAGTTTCCTTGTAGCAGCAAACCTAGGTACTCGTTAAACCTAATGTTATTAAAATATATTTAACTGAAAATCAATTCAGACGAATGGAAATTCGCTTAGTCAGCAGGTTTGCTGCGGCGGGGGTATTTTTTAATGGTACTTACTTTCTGGACAAGCCTTTATTAACTTTGTGTGAAAAATTGTACTCACCAAATTAAACATTTACAACAATTTACATTTTACTAACTGATGAGATCCATAGCCATGATAAAATGTTTGGATAAAAAAAAAATAACCTAATTTTTATTAAACATTGTGTACCGTACTTCCAAGATTGAATGGGGCAGATTCCTTTTTAGCGAATTTCCCATATAGGGAATAAGCTATTACCGTAGTACTCACGGTAAGACCTGGACCCGGGACCGATTTTTTTTTTCGTTTTGAGGTCCCTAGAGGTCAAAAACACCATCCGTTCAAATTCATATATATATTTATATATATATATATATATTTATATATATATGTGTCCGTTAGCGCGATAACTCGAGCAAAAATGATCCGATTTTGATGAAATTTGGTACAAACGTGTAAACCTACGTTTATTCGAACGAGTTCGCGAACCAGCATGATCGGACCATGGGAACCGGGGTTTATGGGGGCTTTTATGGGGTAAAAATGGGTTTTTCCCATTTTTGACCCAAAAAACATAAAATTTTGCAATTTCTTTCGAAACTATTTTGTAGAGCTTAAAAAAACAAATAATTTAGTATATTGAAGCGTTATAATGCGCCTAATGGTTACGGAGAAAATTCCAAAAAATTGTAAATTTAAAATTCCCATGTTATTCTTATGGAGAATAAGTAAACTGTTGTAGTTTGCTTGTTTATAAACATATTTTGCCCAAATTTGGAAAATGTTTTTATTTCTTACTAACTATTAACATTTTACATAAAAAACACTTTTACCCTCCCTGTTGCAGCAAACCTAAGTATGTTTTAAACTGATTCTATTTAAATCCTACTAATATTATAAATGAGAAAGTTTGGATGTATGGATGTATGGATGTATGTTTGTGACAAGTGAACGCAAAAAATACTGGTCGAATTGGGCTGAAATTTGGCATGATGATAGCTCACATTCCCGATTAACATATAGGCATATTCTTATTTCAAAAATCCTTTCGGGCTCCGCCCCAGTGGCTCTGGAGTTTCCCATGTTAACCTTATGAGAAATGGAATTATTGAATCTTTACAGCTGTTTCAATTAAACAAGATGGTTCTGTTCTATGATGTTCAATAGCATTAAAGTTACAAGGATTACCAACAGGGTGCAGCACTATTATTTCTTTTACATTTATGACAACAGCTAATTTGCAACCAAAAGGTGAGTGAGCGTAGCGAACAAACTTCAACCTGGAGGCGAGGTAGCGTAGCGAACGAGCTAACCTGAAGGCAAGTGAGCGCAGCAAACGAGCTCCGACCTAAAGGTGAGTGAGCGTAGCGAACAAACTTCAACCAGGACGTGATTGAGCCATGCGAACGAGATAATCTTGAAAATTTAGAAAAATTAAACGGGGCAAAGCCCGCGGGTTACAGCTAGTAGGGAATAAATGTGATATTTTTAAGGAGACATTTTAGTGTAAATCCATTCAGGGAAATGGAAATTCGCTTAGTCTGCAGGTTTGCTGCGGCGAGGGTATTTAATATTCACATATGTTTCAGTACAGTATCATAGACTAAGCAACACAAGGGAGTATATTTTTATCAATGACAGTATCTTCATTACCACCACCAGATTATGCATTTTACCCCTTTCAGTGGCCGTCTTCATCCCTCTTCATTTCCTTAAATTGGTTTGATTACCATAATATAAGTATACTTCTAACAGGAAGTATTTTTAACTAGGTAAGTATTTTTAACAGGAACACTACAAGTTTGATTTTATTGTGCTGATCACACAAAATTTGTTGTCAAGTCATACTGTGAGGTTTTATACAGACAGAAGTATGTTGCTACTTCATAGACAACGCTACGAAGACGCTTTATTACAGAACGGTTGCTCTAATTTTTATTGAATATGTTTAGCAAAAAAGTCTATCAAATCTGGCAATGAAATTTTAAAAAGAATCTAATACCATCTCAGTTAAAGTTTCGTGGAAATCATGTTCCTCAGGCAAAGCAAAGATCATATTTGAGAAACAACTACTTTTATTTTTATAGATACTTTACAGATACATTAGTAAATTATAGGTTACTTTTATGCATGTATTTTTTGTAAAATCCCTATCTGAACCTGACACTTTTTTCTTTTCAACCCCCATACAAAATAATTCCATGTGCATAGAAAAACAGCGTTGTCTAATTACTTTTTACCAATTCATTTATTAAAAGTACTGCCAAGTTGAATGAAACAACAATCAGTTGAAGAATATTTTTGTTATTATTGAAATGTAATAACTTCTAAAAGTGCATGTTTTATGTAGGTCTTCGTTATATGTTGGATTGTTTGGCTTGAAAGTGTACAAAGACTACAAAAGGATTTTCAATAGGCCTATGTAATAATCGGCCGATTGCAGTTTTTTATAGTTTTTTTTATTTTTCTACTTTAAGGGACTTGTTTGGTATTAAATACTTCAATGAATGCAATTTTTTGGTAACTAGACGTTGATGATTTTGTTGGAAATGTGTTGACTGATGAAAATATGTATCCCCACCACATTCACAGATGTATCAGTGACTCTTTGTCTTCCAGCCTTCGATCCACTGTGGGGATTTTCATTTTCCCCTCTTCCTTGGTTTTAAACCTCTTCATGTTGATGATCAGATCGTGAAGTTTCAGAGACTGCATTCACTTTGGTTGCTCTAAGACTATAGTTCACTTTCACCTATTTTATCTTCCCTCACAAGCTCTTCACAACCAAACATACCGCTATGCAAGTAATAAGTAGTGATGCCTGATGAATACAGTAAAGTTTGGGAGCAATTCTAGCTTGTAAACCATGTGGTCACAGTGACGGCGTGAAAATAAACTGTACCGTAGGTTTTTTCTAGTTCGCTATTGGGAAGTTTGCAAAAATCGATGAATCAATGATCAATGTTCAAGAAATTTTTGTATGCATTTAAACACAGAGCATGATTGTTTAAAACATATTTACTTCAGGTACAAGTGCAATAATCATGTCGTATAAATCAACCAGACGTATCTAGATACTGATTCAATACCGTATATCGATAGATTCAATAATGTATATGGATACTGATTTCCCATGAATGGAATTGATATTTTGATAATCACTGAAACAAATCAGAATTTCGATGCATCGCACACCCTTAAAATGTAATCCCATCCCAATGATCGGGAATACACGATCCAGAATTTTTTTTTATAATTTTGGGATCCGCTCATCTCTAATTTTCAAGGGTTAGATTATTCCAGGCCTTCAACTGAAATTCATTCCTTTTTCAGGACTTTTCCCTACCTTTCAAAATCCTCGACTTAAACCTAAATTTCCCGGAATTCCTGACTGGTGGACACACTGAGAATGCTTTCCAAATTCGCAGGATGGACATAGAATTTTTCCGTAGCCTAATTTGAAGGCGATAATAGTATTCACAAGACCGTGGAAATTCAGTAGGTATTTTGCCACAATTAAGGGAGACGATAAACTTAACAATGTTTACATGTTAACCATAGGAGTTATTAAGGAGGCGCCACGATTGCCGAAGACAAAAGGGGCGTTTTCCAAGTCCGCGGCGGGATTCATATAGAATTTTTATGGGATTGCAGAAGATGATAATGATATTTATGTTACCGCAGGAGTTATTCAGGATTTTGTCGTGATAGCGGAAGATGATGGTAATGCTTCCGTGATTGCGGGAGACATTTTATTATTTTCCATGATCACCAATAAAGACAATGATGTTTCTGTAATCGCGGAGAATATTTCCGTGATTGCAGGAGACAGTGATTAACTCATGTTCACAGGACCATGGGGAATGGTTACAATATTGCCGCGATAACATTGTAATTGATAGGTGATAACACGGTTGGATTAAAACAAGAGTTGGACTATCCGAGGTCGGATTAGCGATGTTCTACTGAATGGAGATTTAACTTCGATAAATACATTTACATTTTTTTCTGTGTAGGCCTATAGAAGCTTTCCCTCTTTACTTCCGAAGAAATCGGCCTAGGCTACGTCCTACAGAAATCTGATATAGGCCTAGGTATCTAGGTTGACTTTATTAGACAACCTTAAATAAAAAATTTCTATTTACTTAAATGAGTTTACGTCTCCAGTCCTCATTGAGGGTAAGAGGTAAGTAAGGTTACTCGGGTAATAAGTTAAGCACTGCAACAATTTGAGCCTACTAAGCCTTACAGTACTTAAGTAGGTTTACACTGACATGAACAATAAAAAAAATAACTTCTTGATCAGCATTGTACGTGTTATTAAATTTACGGAAAGTAAATAAAGATACGTCTTAACACTTAAAAACATATATTTACGCTTATACTGTTACTCACAAGACGGTAAATATACAAAAGATGGTAAGGTTAACCACAAGACGTATCTTTATTTACTTTCCATGGACAATCAATCATATCATAGGAAAACAGCTATTGCTGATGTAAACTCCAATTGAGAACAAAATCAAGTCAGTTTGAATTCAACTTGAGTAAGCTAAGTTAAACCATCTTTGTCAAGACGGACATGAGTAAATCTGAAATGCCCTAGTCACTCTATCCGGATACATGGTATGACTTAGCTATAACTGTTGACTCGACTAAAACATTATAAGTTATTACTTAGGCTAGGCTGAAACCAAGTGACCAAGTGAAGTGGGGTGTAGGCTGACTCACAAAATTAACACCCTTGACCAAAAGCGAGACGATTGACTCATTCTGTTAAGAGTTGAGTCTGACTCATCTTGCAGTTCGTTACACCACGATCCCAGATGGAGAAGCCGAATGTACACAAACTTGGAACCAGCTGCGATCGGTCTAAGTCAGACTAGACTTCAAGGTATTCTTGAGCCAACGGTAGCTTAAGAGTACTTGTTACATGACTAATAAATTAAGTTCAAACTAAGTTAAAGGTACAGTTTTTTAACTGGGGGTACACTTCCATATCTGTTGGCACAAACAACCAAATGAGTAATATTGATTATTGATTGTTTAATTCGATATATCGTTTGGTTAGTTAGGTTAGGTTAACCCTACCTAACTAACCAAACGATTTATCGATCGATATTACTCATTCGGTTGTTTGTGCCAACAGATATGGAAGTGTACCCTAACTGGGCTAAATGCTAATAACGATTGCAAATATACTTCCATATCTGTTGGCATAAACAACCGAATGAGTAATATTGATTAGGTAGTCGATTGTTTAATTTGGGTAATTTGTTTAGGTTAACCTTACCTAACTAACCAAACGATATACTGTATATCGAATAATCGATACATCAATCGATATTTTCATTCGGTTTTTTGTGCCAACAGATATGGAAGTGTACCCATTTGATTAATGAACCTTCATTAGATTTTTTTCCAATATCAGCAAGTTTGGTTAGTTAAGTTAGGTTAGGTTATTATAATGGTTTAGTTTAATAATTGATAAAGTTAAAAATATTGATTATCAATCGATATTTTCAATTCAATAGTTTCAATCGATATTAGGCCAGGCATAGCCCAGTTAAGAAACTGTACCCGAACTAGGCCTAAAACCTTTAAAAAAGTGTTTCCATCAGAATAGGCTAGCCTAAATAAATAAAGGCCTAGGCCTTGGAATTGAAAAGATAGGCCTAAATTGTTGACCAAAATTTGTAACCTCAGTCAAATTAGTAACATATCTTTCATTCTACATTCAAACCATGATAAAATATGCTAATTTATCCTAATAGTTCATTTTTAAACACACCAGTAGACCGGCTCATCCTTTTTTCCCACCCAGAGGGTAAAGGTTCTTCTGACATTATGTACAAAAAAGAATTCGATTAAAATATTAACTAGGTTACAATTAGGCTTCGTTGAAAAAACGACGTAACTTATTGACAACTAACTAAGTTAGTATGAAAATAGAAATGAAATGATCAAATGCAAAACACAAGCAGCAGCAACAGCAACAAACAAGGACAACGCCGTTCGCCGAGGACGACAGACAGACAACCAGAGCGAACCAGCCCCAGACAACCGACCGACAGCGGAGTTTTTATTTCAGGATTAATTTTGCCAACAGTGTCATTTGTATAGGCTTCTGATTGGCTGAGGGAACACCATTATCGGAACGATACAGATTGCCGTCATCGGCCTCGGTGACATGTGGGTGGATAGAGTGCTGGAACGCTTACACCGTTGCCTGGAGTGGATGGGGTTGTTTATGATTTTTTCCTTCCACCATGGTTTATGATGGTGACATTAGTTTTGACGACAGTGAGATAAGCGATGATGAAGCTATCGACTGTTTGTCCTCTGTCACTTCCGACAACCAACGAACTCTGGAGGTGTGTTCAGTAAGGTAATTAAACATAGGACATACGATACATTGTTACACTCGATGTCTTTAGGTCACCACACAGTGTTTTCGGACAATGGGGACGGGCATTTGAGGATGTTTAGATAAATAAATAAATAAATTATATACATAGGACAATATCTAACTAAACTGTATTAACTATATTACAACAACATAAGAATCAATCCTTCAAAGTTAAAAACAAAAACCATTTAGTTGACAGTTTACAGAATGCAAACTAAACTAAACTTATTCACTTCACATTTACATCAATAATTTGATGGTGATATCAATAACAAAAGCATATTTCAAATATAAAACATATATTAATAATACTGTTTTTTTTATTATTGATTAGGCTACTGGGTGTATCATGTGTGCGGGGTGTGTAACACTGGATCGGTCGGACGGATCCACCGTCACGGAAGTGTACTGGAGTTCGTAGCTCCAGACTTTCTATCGGACATGCCGAAGATGCGGAACGCCGTTGACGGCCGTGTTGACACAGTGAGCGCAAGCTTATTTGATTCAATGTTTTTAACTTTTGGGAAAATCCCGTACCGACCCAGTGGGCACGCAGCTTTACATGACACTGTGAAACATTACATTTCTGGTCGTATAAAAATATAGAGAACATTAAATAATTGTACACATGTTTTGTTTTCACAGTTACTTTGCCGGATACGGGGTAAAATCGTGTTTGAAGAAATTCAAGTGTGACATCTGCTCAAAAGAAATGCGAATGGAGCCGACAAGTACCCCTGGCCTTGACGGAGGACTTATTCGAGAAATCTCCACATACAAATTAACGACAGTTAGGTCTAAGCAGTTCACCTTTCCATGCCATCAGAACGTTACATCAACTTGCTGACGACGAAGGAGGGTCCTTCCCAGCAGCAGCCAAAGTTCTACGGGATAATACGTATGTGGATGACGTCATCTGTGGAGCTCATACTCTCAACGAAGCGAAAGAACTACGAGATCAGCTGATTGAACTTCTTGCACGTGGTGGTTTTGAGCTAAGAAAATGGACATCCAATTGCCCAGAAATACTCCAAGATTTGCCTCAAGATCATCTAGAAGCACCAGTCTTTTTGGAAGCCACTAATCACCCTCATTTTGCCATTCTTGGACTACATTGGTCACCCATTTCAGATTGTTTCACTTACAACTTAAGTATCCCTGATGGTCCTCCTACAAAACGATCAGTGCTGAGCATTATATAGCACGCATTTTCGACCCTACCGGATTTTTGTCACCCGTGACCATGTGGGCAAAAACCCTCATGCAAATACTCTGGTCACAGGGTATCCAATGGGATGACACTCTTCCAAATGAACTCGCCGAAAAATGGCACATTTTCGTTGATGAAACCTCTCTCCTTTCAAGTATTAAGATCCCTCGCTCGTTCCATTTCACTACCACATGTTCCTTACAACTCCATGGATTTTCAGATGCCTCCGAAGTAAGATACTCAGCAGTCTTATACTTCCGCTGTGAGTTTTCAACTGGAGAAATCATCACTCGTCAGATTCTCGCAAAAACACGTGTAGCTCCTTTGAAACGTGTTACTCTACCCCGCTTGGAACTATGTGGTGCACACTTACTTGCAAAACTCAGTAAACTCACAACTTACTGTTGTACAATTTTCAAAGAAAAGATTGACCTTTCTCAAACTACATTGTGGTGTGATTCATCAGTAACCCTCACTTGGTTACACACCCCCTCATATCGACTTAAAACGTATGTTGCCATCAGAGTTGCTCAAGTCCAAGAATTGATCCCCTCTCACTCCTGGCGCTACGTTCCCTCAACAGACAACCCCGCTGATTGTCACGTGGTTTGCTTCCCGCTCAACTCATTGATCATCCTCTATGGTGGAATGGCCCTCTATGGTTAACTCTTTCAGATGATCATTGGCCATCTAATCGCTTCGTTCCCATCAACTTGCAAGACACTCAAGAATGTAAAACAACTCCTCTAAATGTCCTAGTTTCAACCCAACCTCCAGAATGGGATCTTCTCTCCAAGTACTCATCGTGGTCTAAACTACTTAGAGTAACAAGCTATGTCTTGCGGTTTATCCACAATGCACGTAGCTCTGACCGAAGACATGGGCATCTCACCGTCTCTGAACTTAAGAACTCAGAGCGTACGATCATCAAGTGTGTACAAGCTACATGTTTTACGAACGAATTGACTCTACTTCACAAAAACAAACCCAGTACCTCTAATCTTCAACGTTTAGACCCTTTTCTGGATGCTTCCGGCATAATTCGTTTGGGAGGCCGGCTTAAGAAGCTATCGCTGAAATTCAACGTCAAACACCCAATAGTACTTCCAAAGAAGCACCATATCGTTGATCTTCTCATAGACTTTGTCCACACTACTCACTTACATTCCGGACCACAACTGACCCAAGCAATCCTTTGCCAAAACTATTGGATTCTTTCGGCTCGTCGAGTCATACGGACACGTATTCATAAATGTGTAAAATGTTTCAAAGTGAAACTAAAGAACATCACTCCACTCATGGGAGATCTTCCTACCGCAAGAGTAACTCCAGCTCGACCATTCACTACCAGTGGCGTTGACTATTGTGGCCCTTTTGACATGAAAGTTGTCAATCTCCGCGGAATGTGTCATATCAAAACCTACATCTGTGTTTTTGTTTGTTTTGTGACAAAGGCAGTGCACTTAGAAGTTGTAGAAGATTTAACAACTGAGGGATTCATCGCTGCACTCACACGATTCATCTCCCGAAGAGGATTCTGTAAAGATATCTATTCCGACTGTGGCACGAACTTCGTAGGCGCCGATTCTGCACTGCGTCGAACAATCAAAAACACCCTGCGCTTTAAGGAATCTGAAGAACAACTATTGCATTTCACTTCATCCAGGAAAATAAATTTCCATTTCAATCCTCCTGCTTCGCCCCATCAAGGTGGTCTATGGGAAGCAGCAGTGAAAAGTGTCAAATACCATCTGCGCCGTGTCATGGGTGAACACATTCTTACTCTCCTAGAATTCATGACTCTGACTACACAAATAGAGGCAATCCTCAATTCCCGTCCTTTGACGCCATTATCTAACGACCCTAATGACTGTTCAGCACTAACTCCAGGACATTTCCTCATAGGATCTCCGCTGGCATCAATTCCAGAAGAAGACCATGCTGATATTCCACTAACTCGGCTCAAAAGATGGCATCTAGTACAAGCTCTCCACCAAAGGATTTGGAAGCGCTGGCAACTAGAGTACCTTCATACACTCCAGCAACGATCCAAGTGGACTCATAAGACAGAAAACATAAAAGTTGGAGATCTAGTCTTGATCCACTCTTCATCGCCTCCTTTGTCCTGGCCCCTTGCCCGTGTCACACAGTTGCATCCTGGCACAGATGGACAAGTCAGGGTTGTTGATCTGAAGACTCAACACGGTTACCTTACTAGACCAGTTGTTAAAGTGTTCCCTCTCCCTCAAAACTAAGCCATACAACTTAGAAAGACCTGTAAATAGCTGTAAATAATATTCAGAATATTCTTCAGTGCTCCGTTTTTTACACAATTTTGTGTTCATTTGTTATAAAACTATCGTTTTATGGAGGCCGGTATGTTCAGTAAAAGGCCAGCTGACCATATGAGCATAATCCCCACATGTCAACAACAATACAATAATAAAAAAATTTGAAAATGTAAACATTCCAAGGTAAACATTCTGGTTCAAAAAGTGCAATTTCTCTCTCTTGTAATATCGTTTCTTTGTGTTACATAATTCATTTCTCTCTCCTTTTATTTTGACTTATTTCATTTACCTTTTCCTTTTGTGTTCATCAAATAAACCTTTTTTTAATTTGACTAAATTCTGTGTACCGTGAGAACATTTGGACATTCATGAAACATATCTTCTCAACTAGAGACAACATTCGACCAGATCTTCTTTCAAGACCTTAATAACGTCAAAGTGGTAACATAACTATAGTTCAGTGTTAAAAATTATACCAAAAGTCCATTATTTTCTGTTGTCAAAATTAAATTAATAACCCATATACAGTCCACTTTATTATTTCTACAATAACCTTTTGATTACGCTACATCAGTACTATCCTGAAAATTAGACCAATTCGTTAAATATACCAAGGAAAAAATGTGGTTCGGATTCCACTCTAAATTGTAGGTCCCTTAGTTGGCATTAGCTGTATGGGCTATTAATTAACAGCTGTGTCTAAGGAACATGTCGGCCTTAGTCACTAACAAGACTACAAGATCGTGCCACTCATCCTAACTCATCCTTCACTCATATTTGGGTTAAAATACGCACATTGATAATGGGACGTATGGCACTTAACAACACCATACAACACTTACTTACGGCGTTGTCAATTCTAAAACGTCAATCGGACTGTTCGGCCAAAGTCTCTATGCGCGCGACAAGATGTGGTTGGGTTTCAGGCGAGGGGGTCGGCGGGGGTAGTCGGCGGGGGTACTTTTGTTAAAACATTTTTGTCAGCACTGCCAATAACCGGTACCTGTATGTTTTAATTCGGATAGTAGCCACCCGTCCGCGTGCACAACATTTTTGGCCGAACCGTACCCACGTCGGCCACCTCAGGCACGGCCACCTTTAACACCAGGCCGCGGCTTTCGAACTGGCAACGTTGCAAGTGGTGTTGTAACAGCTGTTTATTTTGGTAGCAGCTAATGGTATTTGTGTATTAACGAAAGCTTGGTTACTGGACTATGACAATATTGACTCCACTTTAAGGGTACAAAAATTGATTTTCTATTTAGGCCTAAATATTGTTTTTGTTTTAAATCTTATGTTTTATTTTTAATCTTTCAATAAATTTATGTCAATAATTTTTAATTTTAATGAATAAAACGCAAAATAATGAGCTGGTGTCACCTGTCGGCCTTGTTATCTTATGGGACGTCAGGCGCTAGACAACACAACTTGCGACGTTGCCAATTCTACCAGGCCGCGGCCTGTAGTCAGAGGTGGCCGTGCCTCAGGACGTAAGGTATGAAGGTCCCGCTGTTTTTTAACATTCCTTCTGATGAGAATTTCTTGAACTTTGGCTCTTTACATCAAATATTAAGTCGAAATTAATTAAATTGTGGCTTCTGAATTGTACACCCGTGAATCCGCGGGTAGAACCTCTTGTAGAAACAGAAAATAGTAAACCACACTCGATGCTTTAGTTGAAGAATTAGACTCTTCAATTAATTGTGTTATGTTGGCTACACTGAAGAACTGTCATTTTCCTCAACGCTGTCTGCTGTCTGATCTGCATCGCAACACTACTTTCTGGTTCTGCACCTTCAATCTACCGAAAATTCATATAAAATTCTAGTATCAATTTAATTTTACACAAATGTTTGTTAGTTTTTGGATTTTAAATAATCAGTGGCAAAATTTTGTTTCTTCAGAGTAAATACAGATTTTCATTGAAAATTGTTCTTATTGCAAATTTAGATTATTATCAAGATGCAAGCCGTTTATGATGACATGCAATTGTAAGTTTAGGTTAACAGTTTTGTTTTAGGCCTAATAGGCCTACACAACTAATGTATATTTTCTAGTATTTTCTAGTTCCATCTGCTGACACCAAGAGTAATTAAATTCAAGTCCTAACTTCTGAAATTAAATCTAGTCCTTTTAATTACCTAGGCTAGCCTAGTGAAGAACCATTTTGTAAGTTTAGGATATTTCTGGATTAGGAATCTGGTATTGAGAGATGTATCTACCAAACACTTCTTCCATTCGTAACAACAAAAAGGTTTGCTATATAAGTTAGCCCATGATCACACTGCCACCCTAACTGTAATTCACAATATTCTTGAAAGTGAATGATTTGAATATTTGTAACAAGACTGAATATCAAGTCCTGATCAATCTCATAAGTTATTCGTAGAGCCGTTTGTTTCAATCCTCCAAGCTACTGGTACATAATCCTCTGGCTTAGCAAATATTCTGGGGGTAATTCTGAGCAATTACTTGGTCAACCCCAATTTTTTCATATTTTACTATGGCCATCAGGATGTTCTCAGAAAGCAAGGAACATATAATTCAAGTCCCGCAAGGCCATCGCACAGGTTGTCGGGCGATAAGAAGGTTCAAAGTCCAAGCGATAACAGTGGCTTGCGGGACACGCGCGGAAGGCCAGTTGTGACAGTACCGTTATGGCTATGGCTAGTGGTTCCTCCGATAATCCTTTTCTATGTGACGGGTGTGAGAGAACACGTTACTTAGTTTCACGGTTTTAAGTGAAGATCAGGGAAAGTTAACACGTTTTTTGTACGAACACAGCGTTTTGCAACGTACCCTAGGTACCTCAAGTGTGCCCACAATGTGGGTCGATGACGTTAAATGAAGAAAAACACACGTTTAACTGTTGAGTTGGAATAGAATTACCGGTATGTTTTTTTAGTTTCACATACATCTAAGGCCAATTGTGACAGAACCGTTATGTTTAATTACCTCCTCCTTGACCGAGACCAGCAGAGCCGGATAGGTTGCGTCAATTTTCTATTTACACTATATACATAAAAACTTCCATAGATTGAAGTATGAACTAGCCTATATTAAAAGTACTTTGGTGGTGGATGATTTTGCCGCAGGCTTATTGACTTGACTTAAAGTTTCTCATTAAAATAGTCTTGTAGGCTGTAGTATGGTTTCTCCCTCAACAAGTTTTTCAGGGCTGTACGAAAGGCCGTTTCCCCTTGGTTTTTGATTGACGTAGGCAGGTTGTTGTAAATCTTCAGGACAAGCGTTGGGAAAGAGTTTTTGGTTTTAGACAGCCGGCAGAAAGGTATGTCCAGGTAACATGGAGCGATGTCTTGTACCATGGCTATGAACAGTATTTCTTGTAGGGAATTTATGTAGGTTTGCCTTCACATGGTCGGCTGACAAAAAAATGTAATGACTGACAATAGTTAAAATACCAGTGCTGACAATCAGAGGTTTGCAATGGTAATTTATTTTACTAGAAGTTAAAATACTTACTGCTTTCTTCTGCAATTTGAGAATTTCATGACATGAAGGTGCATGGCCCCAGAGAAGGAGACCATAGCTTAAAATACTATGGAACAGAGTGTGGTACACTATAATCAAATAAGGTTTACTGACAAGCCTAGTCAACTTCCGAAGTAGATGGATCACCCTGGACAGTCTTTTACCAACTGATTGAATGTGTTTATCCCAAGCAAGTTTTGGATCAATTGCAAAACCAAGAAGATTTACGTTGGGTACATCTTGTACGTGGTGACTTAGAGTACAAGTAAGTCTCTGCGTCTTGTCTTCGTTCAGTTTTAATTTGTTGAACGCAAACCAGTGTTTCGCTTCCTCAAATTGGATGTCAGCTGTCTCAATTGCAAGAGTAGGATTTGCACCAGACGAGAAAATGGTAGTGTCATCCGCAAATCTAAGGGCCATACCATTTAACTCAAGGTCATTTATGGCAACAAGGAACAGTACCGGCCCCTTAATCGAACCTTGGGAGACTCCATAGGCTACAGTCATGGCCTGGGATTTTGCACCACTCAAAGAAACCACTTGCCTTCTATTTCCAAGATAGGATTTTAATGTGTGTAGGGCGACGCCACCCACACCATAACGTTTGAGTTTGTCAATTAGGATTTTGTGGGAGATACAATTGAATGCTTTGCTCAGGTCGCAAAGTGTCAATGACAACTTGTCTGAAGATTCAAAAGCATCCTGCACTCTGGTTACAAGTTTGGCCGGTTAATTAATAACCTAACCTAACCTAACTTAACCTTGCGGGGCTTGAATTATATGTTTCTTGCTTTCTGAGAACATCCTTATGACCGTAGTAAAATATGAAAAAAATTGGGGTTGACCAAGTAATTGCTCAGAATTACCAATCTGGGTTGAGGACTGAACCTATAATATCAATTTACCCATTCTAATACATTGGTTTTAGGAGCAAGATATCTGTCACAAAGATATCCACCATCCCAGCTTACGTCTCTTTCGAACATTGCTGATTGTTGTTATACTTGATTGTTGTTATGCTTTCAAACAGCTACATTGCTGATCTAATTCAATGTCTTCTGCCAACTTAGCTTCCATCAGTAAATTAGCTATGTGCTCAATAGAACAAAAATATTATGATTGAGAAACAAATATCCTTATGAAACCACATGCACAATAGGGCTGTAAGCCTAAGGCACTTCCTTCAATGATTTTATTAATAAAGTGATGGCAAATTAAACCATAGACAAAAAGAATTAAATATATTGAATGTCAGCTGTGCTGCGGTTACCATAGGTTCTGGCACACACCGCTGGGAGCGCCGTGTAGTTACGTAGCGTGTACGCCGCAACTACATTGTGCCCCCAGCAGTGTGCGCCTGAACCTATGGTAACAGCAGCCCGGCTGAGGGTCTATATTAAATTCTTTTTGTCTATGATTAACTTGAACTTGCCTGTAAATTTTGTAACGGATCCTTTCACAAGAGTTATTTTCAATTATGCTACCAACCAAACTTTGTGTTATATGTATTTAGATTTAAATTAATAATGCTGTATTGCACAAAGTATGACACTACATTACCGTACATTACTAATGATGCTTGTTTGTTTTTCTAGATATGTGACAGGAGATAGAATATTTATTGAGCCCGTCTCACCAAACACCAAATTAATTGTAATTGACAGAGTGTCTCATGATGTCACTGTTCAAGGTAAAATAAACTCATTATGCCCTAGCAATAAATTTGTGCTAGTTCCCAAAAATAACCAACTCTTTTTTTCAGACCCAAGGGTTATCCTTAAATCTTTTTTATTACAAATTTTAAACTTTAGGTTAAAAAGTACTAAAAACAGATTTTTTAATTTTGAATATTTTTATGAAAACCCTATGTAACCTATAGGTTACGTTGGGTCTCAAATAATACAAAAATAGGTCGTCATCAAAATAGGTGGAGGCCCGTAATATCATTATAATTAGACAAAAAAACTCCACCATACTTTCTGAAAGTATCTGAAAATACTCCACCAAGTATCTGAAAATAAAACTGAAACAAAAATAATATGAAAAATGTTACACACCTGTAAAAAGGCAGTAGCAGTTGAGAAAATGAAAATCTGCATTTTGTAGTACCAAAACAGATTTCTATGGTAAGGTTCAATGTCACGAAGCATAAAAAATGAAGAAACAAAGATCCAATGCAACCCCTTGATGTTGTAATGAAGCCAAACAATTCTACAGTAGGCCTAATCAAAACTATACCAGGACAATCTCTAGAGTTTCTAAATGTCATGTATTTTTTATAAATACAATTAATATAGAAATGTATATTTTTATATAGGCCTATTACTTAGTAGCCTATGTGGAAACATAGAAAGAATAAGAATAATTTATTCCATTGATCTTTTTACAAAGAAATAGGACACGTCATACAATACATACAATACAAAATAATCATCTTAATACAATCAAATTTCTGATACCTACATCAAAATATTACCTAAAATACAATTAGGCATAGTCTAATTACTTATTTTAATTAAAATTTAACATCAAAATTGTACTTGATAAAGTCACTTAGGCTGTAAAAAACTAAATTATAAATTCTCTTAAAAAATATTATAATCAACTAATTTTGCACTGTCAGGTAGTTTATTAGAAAAGCAAATTGAGTTGATTTTGAAGGAGTCACCTGTTTAAGCCAGTCTTTGAGGCTTCATGCTGAGCTTACCTCCACCCCTAGTACTCATGAGTGTCAGATTTAAGGGGGAAAGATTGCAAGTTTGACTTGGTGTAGAGTAATACTTGATTAATGTACAAATTAAATAATGTTGGAATTTTTAACTCTATGAAAAGAGGTTTACAATGAGCTAGGGATCTAGAATTAGCAATATTACGTTCTGCCTTTTTTTGAATCGACAGAATATCAGCTACATGAGGGGAATGTCCCCAAACTAGAATGGCATAAGAGTATGTGGGACTGAAACAAGCCAAAATACGATAGTCTCAAATATTCTTGGTTAATAATTTTTTTTAAATTTCCATAATAAGCAATCTACTCTTGATAACTTTTTGCAAACCTTCTCAATGTGAATTAATTAACCAACTTAATTTTGAATCAATATGAAATCCTAAAAGCTTGGCAGAATCTAGTCTGATTTCCTGGCTAATTGCCATAGCCATAGGCCATCTTTGTCTGCTTTTACCCTGGCGTGTCAGCGTCGTAAGGATCTAATCTTTCTTTAACCGCTATTTTTCAGACAATACAGGCCAAATTCCCACTGGTGCTTCGCCAAAGCACATTTATGGTGTGTTAGGTGTAATATCCCTACTGGCTGGACCCTACCTCGTTGTTGTCACTGGGAAGTCTCGGGTTGGCACTATCGCAGGACAAGAGATTTGGAAACTAGACTCGGCAGAACTAATATGCTTTCAGCGGACCTTGACTCATCTGACGGATACTCAGGTTAGTTTTTGTTTTAAGAGAGAAGATATACCCTATTTTTGGACATATTAGGGCCTACTCATGGTTTATCCTCTGGCTGTGTAAAACAGCAACCAACACTGGAGATGCATTATAGCTACGCCTTAAAAAAGGTAGGAAAATATATAGTGTTTATTTATCTATATGATGACAAGAGTCAGATCACAGAATAGAGACCTTACACAGAAGCCCCATTGAGCCAATGAAAACATATTTTTTTAATATGCTATGTTAGTTTCTTCCCTAGAGTGTAGGTGCGCTGCTGTCGCTGTGATTTTATAAAAGTATACTTTAGGTTCATTTGAATTATGATCAACTGATAGCAACAGTGTAGTGACATTAGTTCTCTCTTCTACCGCCCCCACTCCTAGTCCACCAGCGACGACAACAGTGCTCATAGATGAGATGTAGACTCTAGCAGATTCAAATGCAACGTTTTTCATGGTTCAGTGAGAGTTCTGGGTTAGGCCTTTTTTTGTCAGACCCATTGACTAACCCTCTTTAAAACACTTGAAATTGGCAATACATCATTTTTAAGCCTACAGTATAAAGTATGGATGATTTAGCTTCAATCCGTATTGATATATCTAATTACTGTACTTTGATAGTGTGCGATATATTGATGAAAATGCTTACAGTATCCAAGGTCAATGGTTCAACTATAGGCCTAACTGTGTGACTTTAACACATCCTAGTAGGCCTAATCACAGTCTCAGGAATGGATTTTTGTCAGCAAGGTCTCTCAAAAGCCTTATTTTTAGTAGAAGCATTAAAAGATGATGAAATAGTTTACCGTACTTAAACATCTATAAAAATTTAGCTTAGGCCTACTGAATATGTTCCTCATATTGTTTTAGGAACAAATGAACAAAGTGTACATTTCCATGGTGGAGTCAGTGCTGGCTACTCCTTACTTCTTCTTCTCATACACTTACGACCTCACTCACTCCCAACAACGTCTTCACAATACTTCTCCTGAATTTCTCAAGGTATTGTACAATTTTTTATCTTCTTTTTAAAATTAGTGTGCTTAACAAAAAATTGAGATAGAGTAAAGTTTAGTTGCCCATTTGAAAAGGAGTTATTGATTGTCTATGTTGAGCACATAAACCTATGTAAGCAAATGATGCAGTGTAGAGTAGGATAAAGGTGGCTTAAGAAAAATTGATTAAAGTAGGGTACCACTAAATAAAACAGATTACACAACCTTGTTTACACTCATCTCCATTCATACTTGGCTTAAAATACCTACTTTGTATGGTCGCCATTTCATTGAAAAGTATTAAGTTTTTTGTCAATCACAGACTTATAACTTCTCGTGTCTCAGTGTTTGTCAGAAACTCCTTCAAAAATACTTGTCCAATTATTATGGAATCTTGTGTGTATATTCAGTAGGTATAACGATGGAATGTAGACAATTCTTCATAAAATTTCTATACTAGGGCTCTCTATAAAAGGTTGCCATTGCTTTTATCAAAGTTAAACAGCTGTTAACAACAGTTATGTACAAACATACCTGAAATGTATTTAAATTCCCCCTGCCGCAGCAAACCTGTAGACTAAGCATATTTCCAATAGCCTGATTTGATTTACACTAAAATGCCTCCTTAAAAATATCCCACTTATTTCCTATTTAAATAGAATTATAGTCTTAGCAATTTGGCAATGTCCCTGGACGCCAGGTCAGTTCCCTTCACACGTACGCACACTTACCCTTACGAGCAGAGAGGATTAGGACCAACCCTCGCCACCCTAAACCGGCCGCCAATTACTTTTTTTAGATACCGCATGTAATAAAAATGTCTCTTTTTAAAGTTGTAATTTTAAATAGAAACGGTTAACACATTTTAATTCCCCTGAAAATTACAATAAAATGATACCAAACAACCCATAATTTACTTAAATATTACTTCACAAAACATAACTGCAATATATTTCAGGTCGCCGATGACCTGTTGTTCCATTATTTTTTAACACTTCCTCCATAGTTGTTTATTTGCATTTGTAAATATTAGTTTTCGTGTATTTTTTTTTTTTTTTAACCAGTTATAGTACGACAATGTTACCATATTAATCCATTTTTGTTTTAAGGCTTTCACTATAGTTGTTTATTTGCATTTGTAAATATTAGTTTTCGTGTATTTATAACCAGGTATAGTCATAATACAATGTTACCAATTAACCCATTGTTTATTTTCACACTTTTATCATCGTTTTTATCTGTAAATGTCGGTTTTAATGTATGTATTTTATTAAATCGTCTTCACAGAATGTTACAAATTATTTACTGATTTATTTCCACACGGTTTTGTAACTTACCTTATTTACCATTTATAAACTAAAATTATGTACATACAGCGTATAAAATTAACAAGTAATTATTTGACTTTGGCATCTGTTAATATTTTTGTATTATAATCGTGCCTATAAACATGTAAATAATGTATACTTAGTAAATAGTATGACAATATGGTTTATTCATTTGTATTTCTTGGTACAGTATTCCCACTGCTACTTTGTGTTTGGTATCTATTTTCTCGTGTTGATGAGCAAAATCAATTACTGCTAACTAAGTTTTTTTAAGTTCAATCTTTAAGTTAACAATTTTTACATTTGATAAAGGAAATGCCACTTGTGACTAATTAACAGAGCGCGGGACAGAATGTGGCCAGTCTTATTAATCCCCAGTCCTTGTGTATGTGAGGACTGAGTGTGTGTGCGTGATTCTACCTGGCGTTCAGGGACACTCCCGAATTGCTAAAGGTATACTTTAACGAGTAGCCTACTTAGATTTGCTGCAACAGGGAGGGTAAAAAAGTTTTTTTTGTAAAATGTTAATAGTTTAGTAAGAAATTAATGTATTTTCCAAATTCGATCAAAATATGTTCATAAACAAGCAAACTACACCAGTTGACTTATTCTCCATAAGAATAGCATGGGAATTTTAAATTAAAAATTTGTTGGAATTTTCTCCGTAACCATTAGGCGCACAATAACTTTTCAATATACTAAATTATTTGTTTTTTTAAGCTCTACAAAATGGGTTGGAAAGAAATTTTGTAATTTTGTGTTTTTAGGGTATAAAATGGGAAAAACCTATTTTTATCCCATAAAACCCCCCATTAACCCCCGTTCCCATAGTCCAATCATGCCGGTTCGCAATCTCGTTAGAATAAATGTAGGTTTACACGTTTATACCGAATTTCATCAAAATCGGATCCTTTTTGCTTAAGTTAACGTGCTAACGGACACATTTATATATATATGAATTTGAACAAATGGTGTTTTTGGCTTCTAGGGACCTCAAAAAAAAGTAAATCGGTCCTGTGTCCAGGTCTTACCATGAGTACTACGGTAATAGCTTATTCATTCCCTATATGGGAAATTGGCTAAAAGGAGATTGTAATTTAATTAAACAGTTTATCAGCTGGTAATAATAATAATTACCTGAAGAGTACATTCACTTGCAAGACGCTATTGCGAGCAACCCCAAAACTGCTGAAATCGGTAACCATATTATTTTATCACCATCATACATAGGCAGTCCACGTCACATTCTAGAATACTTCCAGGATGCTATGACTTTTGTGTGCAGATACAGACGACCGTATATAATTTGTTTTGTAATTTGACTACAAAAATATTAACTAGAAATCCTTTACACGGCAACACGTTTGCCAGGTCAGCTAGTTTAAATATAAATCTGTCCTGTTGTCATCTAAATATACAGTGTGTAAATTAAGTATGGAAACAAATCTGTATTTTTAAAACCGAAATAGATAGAAATATTCTATTTGTGGCAATAATAGTTAACAAAGATTCCGCAATTTTTCACATGAAAAATATTTTTTTACCCCCCTAACAGGGTAGGTGGAAGGGGGTGACTTATTTTTTTCAAATAGCAACCCCTATTGAGTGACCCCTCATTTTGAAGAGTTTGTCAAAAGAAACACAATGACGCAAATCCGAGGTGAATATCTCACTCCTAGCCCAAATGGCGGATATTCCAAAATTTGATTTATTGTACGTGAAAAGCACCAATTTCACAAATAATGGAAAGAAATCTGTATTTTTAAAACCGAAATAGATAGAAATATTCTGTTTGTGGAATTGATTGTTGACATAGGTTCCGCAATTTTTTTAATCAACAATATTTTTTCAACCCCTTTAACAGGGTAGGGGGTGGGAGTGACTTATTTTTTTGAACAACAACCCCTATTGAGTGACCCCTCATTTTGAAGGGTTTGTTAAAAGAAAAAGAATTACGCAAACCCGAGGTAGATATTTCACCCCTAGCCTAAATGGTGGGTAATGAAAAATTTAATTTTTGTAAAAAAAGCCCATTTTGGAATATCCGCCATGTTAGCTAGGAGTGAGATATTCACCTCGGATTTTCGTCATTGTGTTTCTTTTGACAAACCCTTCAAAATGAGGGGTCACTCAATAGGGGTTGCTATTTGAAAAAAATAAGTCACCCCCTACCACCTACCCTGTTAGGGGGGTAAAAAAATATTTTTCATGTGAAAAATTGCGGAATCTTTGTTAACTATTATTGCCACAAATAGAATATTTCTATCTATTTCGGTTTTAAAAATACAGATTTGTTTCCATACTTAATTTACACACTGTATAAAAGGCAAAGCCCTCACTGACTGACTGACTGACTGACTCACTCACTCATCACTAATTCTCCCACTTCCCATTTACCTAGGAGGCTGAAATTCGGTACACCGATTCTTTGGGCATTAAATAGGAAAACTAAGTAGTTTTTATTCTGATCGGAGTTTCGGGCTCCGCCCCAGTGGCTCTGGAGTTTCCCATGTTAATCTTATGATTTTCATATTTAAAAGGAATTTCTTAACAGCTGTTTCAATTAAACAAGTTGGTTCTGTTCTATGATGTTCAATAGCATTAAAGTTACAAGGATTACCAACAGGGTGCAGCACTATTATTTTTTTAAATTTATGACTACAGCCAATTTGCAACCAAAAGGTGAGTGAGCGTAGCGAACGAACTTCAACCTGGAAGCGAGTGAGCGTAGCGAACGAGCTAACCTGAAGGTAAGTGAGCGGAGCGAACGAGCTCCAACCTAAAGGTGAGTGAGCGTAGCGAACGAACATCAACTAGGACGTGATTGAGCCATGCGAACGAGCTCACTTGTGAAGTTGAACGGGGCAAAGCCCGCGGGTACAGCTAGTATTGCATACAGTGACAGAATTTGAACTACTTGTGTGTCAGCCCAGATAGGTTAATTGTCACTGATACCTCAAATATGTTTACACAGTATTGGTCATTTGGGTTAAACTTGATTTCTAAAATTAATGTTGTTCATTGACTATTTTGATTTTTTTTTTAATTATTTCTTTGTGTGTGTATTTGATGTGGGATATTATAACTTTAACTTAATGTAGTTAAAATGCACTGGGATTCTTAACTGTTGTTAAGAACACAATTTGTTAATTGTGTTTTTAATGCACAGGATTCAAATAGATAATTTTCTAAAGCTGTCCTCAGAAAACAATGGTAATTAGGATTGATTCATATCTGAAGGTTATCTGGAGTTCAGATGTTCAATAACCAAGGTCATGCTAGATAACGCCTGGAATTGAACTCCTCTTTTGTAAAAGTGAAATAATTTCTATAACCACACTGTTGAGAATGTAATCTTATGACAAATTAAGCGGTCAAATAGTACATTTTACTGCTTCCAAAAAAATCATAGCCACGTTTATTTATCAATCTAAGAATATTTGTTCACCAATAACTTATATAATAAATATACAATAGTTATTTGTGAAACTAGTGTGCAAAGTGGCCCTTTGCTGCACATGAGAGAAATGTTTACTCGAGTGCAGCAAAGGCACTTTGCGCTTTCGTCACACATTATATTTGTCTTACAATGAATTATTCATTGAATGAATTTATTCATTGACTATTCATTGTATGAAAAATATAATGTGTAACACGAGTGCAAAGTGCCTTTGTTGCACTCGAGTAAACATTTCTCTCATAGGTACAGTAACTATAAAGCATATAAATATTGTCTTTCAAACACTATACAACACTTTTTAGGTTAGGTTAGATCCAAGTGTTGAATAAATTGGGAAACGCTTAACAGCTGATCGATGCGTAGTATCTTTTTGTGTTACCAACTATTATGTCCCTAATAAAAGCACACAGTTTTGTGTTGTTTGGTGGGAATACTGGAGTGGGAAAAAAAGAGCGTCAAAAATATGAGTGTGTCAAAATAAGTAAAAGCAGTAATTAGCTACTTGGGGTGCTATATAATCAGTGTAAGGAAGCCCACTTTGTTATGTAACTGTAGGGAAATATATATTTGTTCCAGGGAAGTAGCCTATGAGTTTACCTACATATTGACAGTAAAAGTATTTTTCTCCTAATTTCACCTTTCAAACGTGTTGTATGATGTAACCAACAAGCTGTAATCTTAATTTTCAAGCTTTAAACAGTTTAGTAACAGTAAAAATTTTAAGGATCCATATTTGGTATCATTTTATACTTGTGTAATTTATTTTAATATTTAATTTAAATATAGCCTATTGTTATCACACCGGTTATAATCAGGTCCATTCAGAGACTGACTTAAAAATCTAAATACTGACTTGTATTTTAACTTAAACATTTTTTTTACAATACTAGTTTAGTTGTATTGCTAATTTGTCAACACCTAAAATGTTGATTGAGAAGATCCCTATTTACAAAGTGTTGTGTGTTTTACAGATGCCACTTCACAGTAGAGCAGACCCAAGGTTTCTGTGGAACGGCCATCTGTTACGACAACTCCCGGAGAATCCAAGCCTGGACAAGTTTCTACTCCCCATCATGCATGGGTGTATCCTTTACTATTTCCATTATTCTTTTTTGATAGTAAGGAAATTCCCATATATTGTTGGAAAATGTTGGATTTGAACCATTTGTCTACTATCACTTTGACGACATCAAAATATAATGTATTTCCTTTTTCTTTTGCTGTACCTAGTAAAATGAATTAGAAGCGTCCAATTGCACTGTTCAATTTTGGTCTTTAGAGATGACCAAACTTTTAGAACCTTGGCTAAAACATTGCTTGATGTTTTAGATGCATTGCAGCAATCGAGCAATCATATTAAGTTGAGTTCTAGCTTGCTCAGAAGATTTGCAACTCATCTGAAACGTATGCTAGTATTTTCATGTGTTCAAAAAAACAGTTGTATTTCAAAGACCAAGATTTGACTTATTAAAACTAACTTACCTTTGGGTCATCAAGGTTAGTTAATGGGGAGCTAGCTGGTCTAGTGGTAGAGTGTGGGACTTTGGTTCCCGAGGTCCTGGGTTCAAATATGGACTCCCCCATTGGTTAATCACCAATGTATTTCATCTTTTTGATACTACTTATACCCTCTAGGCCTAGGGTTAGTTTAGTTTACTGCCACATTGAAAAATTAAATTTTCCCTTAACCATATTTAGTCATCTCAATCAATTCATGTTCAATCAACGGTAAACCATTTACCTGGAGCATCGTTTCGCGCCGTAGCTGTCATAGAGCCGGAACTCGTCTGTTTATGCGCGGCATTGACAAGAACGGCAATGTTGCCAACTTTGTAGAAACAGAGCAGATCGTCGAATCATCTGGGGATAGAAGTTCATTTGTTCAGGTAAGCCTTTAGAGTGTTTTCAATTTCCCCTGACCATCTAACTTAGGATATTTAATTCTTAAGTAGAGAGGTAGTGAGTTTGTTCAGCAATGTATGTCTACAGTTAGAAATATTTTCCATATCCTAAGGTTGTGAGAAAACTATGAATTATAGAAGTACAGAAAAAAAGATAGATTGTGGAATACTTCTAGAAATCCCGACTGTTCTGAAATACAATAATAAATAATTATTTTCAAGAAATATACTATTTGTGACTCATGTACTATAATCCTTTCTCTTTTATCAGGTTGGGAATTCAGAGTGGTTTTCTTAATTTGTCAGTGTTTTAAAGCAAGGTAAAAATATTTATATTTTTCAGAAACATTCACTTGAAACGGTATAAGTTTGTTTACAACTTGTCATTTTCAAGCACCAATGTAGTAAAGTTAGCTCCTAATCCCTCTGGCAATGTCTTGTTTACAGACGCGAGGTTCAATCCCTCTGTATTGGCAGCAGCTACCAAACCTCAAATATAAACCAAGACCAACTTTGATAGGGACGGAAAATCATACGGAGGCCTTCATAAAACATTTTGAGGCTCAAATCATGGACTATGAGCGTCAAGTACTTGTCAATCTTGTGAGTACCCTATTTGTCTGTAGTTTTTTTGTAATTATTGTTGTAGTTATGTGCTACTGCTTTGTATAATCTCAGTGCCACATAAGGGGAACATGAAGTGAGGACCATTTATAGATTTCAGCTGTCATTTTGCATCCTTTTCTAATCCTTTTCTAAGCTTTTTAGATTCATTATTTTGACATTGTTAATGAATGAACCGTTTGAAGTAAAGTAATTTTAATTTTTACCCAATATAGAATATAGAATTGTATATGCATACAACTAAATTTTGGTTAAAAAAATAGCTTTGTTGCAAAATAGCACAAACCAGAATAGTGTATATCAATGAGTACCTGTGTTAGTGTTTTGATTAAATGTAAGTTGATACCGCCGCTTGTATCTGCATTTTCTACTAAAATCTTTGAATTAAATGGTTTATATTACCTGTCCATCAGTGATCCTATTGTCGTCTTAGGCGACCGGTTTTGGGATACAAATCCCATTATCAGGCTGTTAAAAATATCATTTCACTAAAATTGAGATCGTCGGTAAACACAAAAACACACACATAAACATTAAACACGGATGGACATTGTACAAATATTGGTAACTGGCCCGTACAGGACACTACGACGTGGCACAGGTAGATGTGTGGTCATGACTGAGGTGTCCTCGCTCCTCTCCCGTTATCTATGGATAATGGCGATTACTACATTCAGCATGAAGGTCTAGCAATGGGATCCCTCCTATCCGGAATTTTAGCCGAAATCTCTCTAAACAAGTTTGAAAATGAACACATCCTTTCTGGCAAAAATCGTAATTTCCATAGATGTGTTGACGATCTTTTGCTGTGTGATGATTTTGTAATGTTGCTTTTCTTTAGTTCCTAACAGTAAATACCAATTTTTCAGGTGGACCATCGAGGTAGTGAAGGAGAAATTGAAGAGGCTTACAAAAATATGGTTAACAGAGTTGCAAACCCAGAAATAAGGTGGGTGATGTTACTTTAAACTTAAACAACCAAAGTATCAAAGTTTTTTGGGATACAAAAGGGTGTGTAAATGGTATGAGTTTTGTTTCAATAGTCATTAGTGGGTATAATATTATTTTCTGCAATAGATTTAAAGAACCTCATCAATCTTTTCTGTGTCCTCGCCCAGTTGGGGAGCACAAAGTTCTTATTTGACTTAAACTTATACTCTTACCGTACTTAATTCATAGATGCACGTTATATGATGTACTTCCAGAACATCTCCTTAATATATTAACTTGCTACAAATCTATCATGACTAATTCATAGAGACTCATTTTTTACTTTCATTGTTTTACAAATTTTTCTTACTTGTTTAAAACTATTTTATTGCATAAGACATATTGTTGTATATTTTACGTTATAATCTTAACAATGTCATCTGTTTTTTTAGCTATGCTATGATTCAAAACTTTATGTGACAGTTAAGAATGAATTATTTATTTAATGATAGTTTTTCCTTCAGATACGAGTCGTTTGATTTCCACCACGAGTGCCGCAAGATGCGGTGGGATCGGCTGGCTGTCTTGATTGACCGTTTGGCTCACGAGCAGGATGAGTTTGGCTATTTCCTACTGCTGCGTGACGGCACGCTTTCGTCACAACAGACAGGCGTGTTCCGGACAAACTGCATAGACTGTCTGGACCGCACTAACGTCGTTCAGAGCATGCTCGCCCGACGCAGCTTGACCACTGTACTGCAGGTAAAGTGATTGGTCCTTTCTGTTACTTTTATTCCATTAATTAACATTGTTTATTAATTCAACCATGCCAAACTTATTATTGTTTTCTCTCATTATATATTTTATACTTCTCGCTATTTGACAAAATTCTTCTTAAAATATCAGAAGGCCTATTGTATTAGATCAAAACAGAGAACGTAACGTTTAAATACAGAGAACGTCTTTTTGCATTCAAATTATGTTGTAATGGAATCAGTGACTAGACTTTTTTCTGTTATGACCACAGTCAGCAACACTCAAGAATACTCAATATTTGGGCTTGAAACTGTTTTTGTTTTTATCTTTTGCTGGAGAAGTCCTATGATATGACAACATATCTGGGCTATGTTTTTGACCTAATCTATTAGCTGCTGGACTATAATTTCCCCAAAAATAAGATACCTGAACTCTACTCTTTTTCACAAAAATCCCAAACTTATTTCCTGTTCCAGAGGTTGGCAATCCTGCGGCCTGGTCAGACGGTGGAGAAGCAGGACCAGTTTGAATGGCTATTCAAGAACGTCTGGGCAGACAACGCGGATGTGATCAGTACTCAGTACAGTGGCACGGGCGCGCTCAAAACTGACTTTACCCGAACTGGGAAACGAACTTACCTCGGCGCTCTGCAAGACCTCAGCAACTCTGTCACACGGTATTACAAGAATAACTTCATGGACGGTTTCAGACAGGTGAGATGAAGTTTTGCTTTGACTGTTGTGTTCTAAGGTTGTCAATTTATTAATTAGATTTAAGTGACCGGTTAGTTGAGCTTGTAGTGGTCAGAGACGGTGTTTGCAGAGGTAAGGTACAAACCTCCTCTCTACATCAATCGGGTCATTAGAGTGTTTTTTTGTCCTAGGATGGTAGGCTCTAGCCTGGGGTCGTTTTTCACACCTTTTTAGTCTAAATCTAGGCGTAGTAGAATTATTCCTTGCATCAAATAAATCCATTGGTAATCTGGTGGGATTTGAACCTGGGACCTCAGGGACCAAAGTCGTGTGCTCTACTACATCTCGCTCTTCAAGCGGTCATGAGAGTGGCATCGCCTATAAGCCCATGGCTGTGTGTATTAAATTGTGGTCGAGGTGTGGATTTTTCTCTTGCATTGCTGATAATTATCTTCTTATTCATTGATAAAGAAAATTTTTTGTTTTTTCAAATTTGTAAAACTTGTTGAGATTAGTTTACATATCAAACGGACGCACAAGAAACATAACCAAACTTCCACTTACACCTGTCTATGATAGTACAGCAGCGGTTCCCAAACTATGGGTTACAACCTACTGGTGGGTTACGAGAGCAATTTTAGTGAGTCGAAGGAAGAGACCAAACATTAGAAATGTTTATTTTTTATTTTTACCGGGACTCATTATTTCATAATCAGAAATGTCTAGTGATCATAATGCAGTATAATAACAGTACTGAGTGGGTAGCAAGGGCCACAGCTGTACATTAAAATATTTTCAGAAATTCACAGTTTAACGTGACTGCTAGCTGTGTAAGTTCCAATGTGTCGGTGGGTCGCCAGATTAAAAAGTTTAGGGACTGCTGTAGTACAGATCCGAAAAATTGCTGAAAGCTTTAAATGAGTGCTGCAAACTGGGAGTCCATTTTAGAACTAAGCTTAGGCTTTTTCATGACCAGTGTCGTCAGTTCGGTTGAGCATTATGTCTAATTAATAGCCGAAAAATCAAAGGCTTCATGTTTCAGTCCAGAAGGCATCACTGTTGATCAAGAGCTCAAATCCTGTTTCGGCCAAGTCTGGTATGCAACAAAAATTTAACCGTTGACCTTCTAATTACTAGACGAGCACTATATCAACTCACAATGTTCTTCATATGCATAACTATAACGGTTCAAGCTTGACAATATTGTAAGTCAAAGTTTTTCCTAAAGATGAGTTGTTTTGCAGGACTCTATTGACGTGTTTCTGGGCTACTACCAGGTCAGCTCCAAGGAATGTGTCACTGTTCAGTGTCCTCTGACAGTCAACAGAGGATGGAAGTATATAACAGTCAGTATCTGTATTTCATACCAAACTCTAGCTTCGGATTAGCTTATTTACTTAATTAGAATCTAGAATGTGATGTCTTGCAAAAACCTTGGATAAGAATAGAAAATGTAGTATAACTCATCACAAGGGCCGAGTGACTCTATTTACAGCTCTTGATTACTAGAGGTAAATAAGGGGTTGAAAAAAAATACTTTTAGCTTGTTTGATTAACTATATTTTGGCCACACTGTGCGTTTTTCAGGGTAGTTAATTAATTTTTGTATTAAACTTTTATTTTCTATAATAATTAAGCATATAAAAGCTTATATATATATATGGTTTGCCATGTTATGGTTGTAAGAAATTTAAGATGAAACAAACATTAAAATAAATTAAACATAATGTCAATCAAAACACGGTAATGAAATATTTAAATCCCTGGGATTTCACAAATTAAGAAGATACAATCATCTATTTCGGATGTCCTTGGCTCCATTATTACTTAAGGGCTTCAAAGAACTACTTGCGCCCAACAACCCAAATTGGAAAGGGCTATTTTTGTTGCAGGATCGCAAAAAATGTAAAAATTGCATATAGAAAAGTTATTTAAACACTATTTATTGTCAACTTAAAAATGTATCAGCCCTAGTGGCCCACTAGTACAAATTAGGCATATTTAAATCTCATAAAAATATTTCTATTTCTTTTATCTTTTCGTTTTCTTTTACAGTTCCCAATGATTTTCTGCGTTGCTGTTGCAATGTTCTTCGCAAATGTAATCACTCCGACAGGTAAATTATATGCTTATCTTGTTAATAGTGTAACATGTGTCCATGTATTTTTATAATACAAATTTTGTCTACAAAATGATAGTTTTATGGTTATTGATGCATGAGCCTGGCTCTCTACAATGGCTATTTTTAACTTGCTCTCATTTATTCAACACTAGCAGCTATACCCGTGCCTTGCAACGGGTCAGAATGCAAAAGAAACAATGTTGGTTTTCTGAAAATGTCTTAAAAATGGCATAATTCAACATATTATTATTTGACTGTACCTTAAAATATTATATTTTAAGGTATAGTCAAATAATAATATGTTAATATGTTGATATATATTTTAAGGTATAGTCAAATAATAATATGTTAAATAGTTTGTAATGTAAATGAAAATAAATAGCGAGTTGATACTTGATTAAAATTTTAACACTTTTGATTCCTTTTGAGTTTAAGATCACAATACATAGACTTAATGATATAAACTGTTCTGATTGGTCCTTTTCTGTTAATTCAGCATTAGGCCTGCGATGGAACTAGGTTAGTTTAGGCATAGGCAAATAGAATAAATATAGACTGTCTGCTGTGCTGTGGTTAGCAGAAGTTTTGGCGTCCACCGCTAGGTTTGCCGTGTAGTTACGGCGCACACTGCTGCAGCGTCAGCTGGTCGCATACGGCTCCTGCGCTCCCAGCCTGCAGCGGTGTGCGCCGTAACTACACGGCAAACCCTAGTGGTGGGTGCCGGAACCTTCCTTTGACAGTCTATATTTATTCTATTTGTCTATAGTTTAGGTACGGTACCTAATCTATTAGTTTGACTCATTTGGAAAAAAAACCCACTCTCTTTCTAAAACCTGAATAATACGTTGTATTAATAGACAAAGATAATACTTATTGTTTTTACATAATAAACTGTCCAATGTGTTTAACATCTTGTGACAGATAAATTTTCTTGACTGTTTTTGCTTCTTTTAATTTGGCTGCTGGTGTAGCACACTGCCCAGTCATTACCAATCAATAATTGAAATATACTGGAAGTTCTAGAAGAATAAATTACTATAAAGTATCTACCTAATTTTAAATGTTACTGGGAGTGAAAAAATACTAAGTCATTGGAATATAAAATAATATTGCAGTAATATGTGGTATAAGGTAGGGAGCAAGCTGGCCAGTGGAAAGGGCAGGTCTTTTTTCTCTGAGGCCCCAGGTTCAAATCCCGCCAGTCACTAATGGATTTTATCCAAGCGATAATGCTACGACCATCTAGGCCTAGCCTGAAGTACAGTAATGTGTAAAATGATTCCAAGTTAGAGCCTAACATCCTAGGATGTGAAGGTGGGACCAAAAAGTACCAACATTTTAAATGGTGGTGAATAAACAAAATAAATGTTGTGAATGTGAAAGAGTATAAGGGTGATATGAGGTTAAGTTGTACTGTGATTCTTTACATCCTAAAACTAGGATCTTTCTGGTTTTAGAATACAGTACAGGCACTCTGTTATGTTTGCTGTTCTGGGGCTCTATGATCACTGCCACGGGTGCGACAATCCTCTACTACGGCCGTGAGTTTGTCGATTATCCGTGCCTGAGAGAGATCTCCTACCCGCCACAGTCCCAGCCCTAGCGGTAAACACTTGTCTTGCCAGCAACTGTAATAAATCACAGGAGACTTAGCAGTTTCTCCTGAAACCACTGTCGAACTTTCCTTTAGTACTGCTGTTAATGTATATAGTGAAAGATGATGAAGTAAACAGATATAAAAAATATTTGTATGCAACTAGTACTCTAAATTATTTTGAAAAATTGTATAATACGATCCTGAAGAGTATGATTTGCAAGTGTAAATTTCATAAATCTTAAAAAGTTAACTTCCATCTTTCTTTATTGCTAAAAGCAATTAAAACTTTATTGTTAATAGTGTTGACTTGTACAGTTGGCTACTCCTGCACTCTAGTCTATTTATAAAAATAATATGTGCATTTCCAACCCCATAGTTTCTTTTAAACTTGCCAAACAAGTTGGTTTGTTAGAGTTAACACTTATGTTAGTTAAGTGAAACATTCTGTAGTATGTAACGTCATTTTATAGAATTACAATATCAATCTATAATATATTATTATATTTGTTTTGAAATCTTACAAAATCTTGATTGCATTATACTGTTCCCTTCAGGTTGTGTTAAATCGTTAAATGTTTTAACTCATGGAACGTAGTTTACCTTCGTTTGAATAACTGCCTCAATTGTGATGATGCAACAGGTATTGGTTAATGGTTACAACGCATGTTTTAAGATTTATAATACTTTTCAGTTTTAGTGAAGTAACAAACAGTTTAAATACATATTTAAATGTATAATTAATTACCTAAACTTTTAGAATGGAATAGAAATAACTACAAGTTGATTAATCAATTGTTGAAACCATTTCACCAATCAAGCTTGATTACTGTGGCAGAGTTGGTTATTGTTAGGCTGGATCACAATAGTGTTAACTATTTGTGTTTCTATTCTTTTTCTACACAATGTGTATTTCTCACTAAGCCTACTCAACAAATGTCATGTCAATTGCATTTGTTGCTTGTTGCCACAACTTCATTAAAAGTGAACATGCTTCCTTAGAAGTATAAAACATGTACTTATCAAGTAGCTACAATTGTGTGTGAAGCTGCCATTTGTTTTCCAAAGGTAATTATCTGCACGTAGTGTGGCTGGTCTACAGGTTAAGTGCAGGTCTTAAGTTTCAGGCTCCTAGGTTCAAATGCCAATTACTAATGGATTTTACTATGTTTTATTTAAGCATTTCTTAATTTATCGATAGACCTAGTATATGAGGAGGAATTTGTTAGTAGTTTATTGGGTTGCTGAACTTGCTTAGTAAACTGAAGGTTGCATGTTAATTCAAAATTAAACTCCTCCTGTTATCAAGTGAAAGTATACTAATGCTACATTACTGGCCTTGCCTCTGTGATGTGAAGTTGTTACCTGGTTTCTGGCCGGCTAGCTTGGTGGCGGAGTGTAGCGTCAGTTTAGTGTTTTGATTGTGTCTTTGTTTAGCTGTAAGGTTGTAAGTAAAGCAATATATTAACAGTTCTTCTTTTCAGTGTGTTTATATTTTTCTACTTTTGCCTACTTACTTACTTTTACCTACTTGATCTTTTTATTGTTATATATATATGTTGTAAATAGTTGTTTTTTCAGCAAGTTTTTGTGACTGAACACCTTTTGAGGGTCAATTTCCAAATTTCCAATGTAGCATTAGTATATTTTCACTTGGTGGGAGGAGTTTATCCACCTCCAGAAACATGTAGTTTAAAACACAAGACATGTTGGAAAAGTCCAATTAAATAATATAACATAATTTAACCTCCACCTTTGCTTCAAAGTATGTACTATGTTGTGTCAAAGTCTATAATAATATTCAGTTTCAGAGATCTCTCTCATCAAAAGCCAACTAAACTGTCTTTTATACATGAGTAAATAACACGGGTTGCTTAAAAACCTCGTAGAAATTACAATCATGCTTTTGTATCAGTTTTACACTAGGAATGATAACGTTTTTTATCTGTTATGAATAGGTGAGAGCAGTGCTCAATTTGTAAACAATTGAGGTGCCGGAACTGTAACCTATTTAACGCAATTAGTACCTACCTATTTACGCCAATATTTTTATCCTTAAAGAGAGGTACCAGACTACATTCCCCCTCAAATCGAGCACTGGCTGAGAGATTCACCTCTGCATTCAATTTAAATTCCATAGTATGTAATGCTGAACTCAGGTGCTCATCTAGGATCTAGACGTGTTCTTTGTGAATTAATGTTGTCCACATTTCATAACTTGGTAACTGCATATCACATTCGTAAGATGCATGAAATGTAATTTTGTCTGACATGTCCCCAAGAGACATTTGTATGCCACGTGTAGTGTTGAGTAAATGTAATTTCCTGTCATGGCAAAATCAGCATCGCAGCCAGTTGCTTTTTTTGTAAAAGAATAATTTTTGCTATCCACATAGCTTCAATGAAATCTGAATTACCAAGGGAATTGACATATACTTCACTGTTTTATTATGTATAGTTGAGCATTTTCTTTTAGGGTACGTGTTATATACATTGTTTACGTCTTATTTTTGTTTTCTAAGTATTTTATGAGTCTACGAGTAAAACTAAATCATTAATCAATTATAATATGATATAAGCCTAAATCAGGGCTGTCCAACTGTTGGTCTATTCCTTGGCAATAATTTGTTTGTACTGTCATTTAAGTATTTTTGTGTGTGTTTACAATTATATTTTTAGTATAGGATGTTTATTTTGGTGACCTATTCATGTTGGAGATCCCTGGTTTGTATTTGAAAATAATCTTTGTTGTTGACTCCAAAATTACTTTTACATGCTGCGTTTGTTCCTACAGATCTCCAACTAAATCAAATCTTCCATTACCAAATTAAATGCATTTATTATGAATATGTATCATCCAACAACAAAAATGTAAAAATGTGTTATAGGTTAGCTGCAATTTGTTATAAACTTAAATAATATATGCTGTAAATAAGATCCAATATTCAATCTTTTTCTGTCTCAGCTAACAAATAAATACTTTTATCTTTTTTGATAAAGGTGTAAGTTCATTTTAACCCTTCCATGGCTAAATTAAATAAAGGACTGGAGCTTAATTATTTTTTGCCAAAATTTAAAAACTGGTTGGTTATGTTTTGTATTTAATTTGCATTAAGTAATTCATGGGTTATTAATAGATTTTCCCTACAGTTACCTAACAATGTACATGTTCTCTCACTGATTTGAGAAAGCAAAGTGGCCATTTCGCTCATCAGTGAGACAATGTTAACGTTGTCTCACTCCAGAATTGCAATGTGAAGGCACGAAATAGTGAGCGCGTAACATGCAGGCAACGTCGGATGCGCGCGAAATACGTTGGCAGCACTGGCTGTAAATCAGCTGGTCAGCTGTTATACTGTTGTATTTGTCACTGCACATTAAATGTTATATTAAAAGTTCACTTCTGTGTAAAAATAGGTTATGTTTCTTCACCAATTTATTTGTTTTATGGTAACTGTAGGAAAAGTATAATGTGCAACTCGAGTTCAAAGTACAATTGCCTCACTCGAGAAACCATTCCTCACTCGCCTACGGCTCGTGAGTAAGGATTTCTCTCGAGTGAGTCAATTGCTCACTTTTCTCACTAGTTGCACAAATAACTATTCCTTAGAGGTGAACTAATTACTGTACAAAAGTTATGAAGATAATACAATTTTATTTGACAAATAAGTTATATCTTGGGCTAAAAAAACGTAAGGTCGACGGATATATCGGTCTGCCACCCTTAGAGATTATATTACAAAATATGAATAATGCCAATGATCTTGAGTATTCTCCAGGGCGGCAGACAAATATATATGTTAACCTCATTCCTTCCCTTGTTCTATTTTTTACCTAACAAAATGTAGGCTATCTATCATTCCGAAATAAATCCAAACTGAAACCACAGTGCAAAAATTGTTATAAGGAAAATAAAACAAACTGTATCAAGTTTTTACATATATTTTCAATCCAGCCCCTAAACCTTTAAGTTAGAGAAAAAATAACAAGCAATAAAATTACTAAAGTACGGACAAGTGACTTATGCTTTGGAAGTAGTCTCCTGCTGTACGTACAATCAAGCAAGAAAAATGTAAAACCTTGTGGATAACACTGCTGGAAGAAAAAGAATTTATATTTTACAGTCCAGTCAAAATATATAAATTAATGACCCAACCTCTGAAAAAATCTGAAAGTTTTGAAACTTTGCACAAATATTTCTAGGTACCTAGGGAATATTATACCAAAAGTTCCCATACATATGAGGCGAGCTCTAGCGGCAATTAGCAAAAACTGGGCAACTTTTTTTGTTTTTAGCTAAAATCTAAATCTCAAGAACCGAATCTCGAGAACTGTTAGTCGGGGTTAAAAGTGGCTACATAGCAAATGAAAGCCCATTAAATTTTCTACAAAAATGAAATTTACACTTTAATTTTACCTAATGGTTACCGAGTTATAAGGTGGTAAATTATGGCGTTTTTTTTTTCTTTCTCAAACTGTCTGTACTTAACTTTGCACCAGTGTTCGCACCCCAACAGTTTAAGAAAAAACGCCATAATTTAAAGCCCTATGACTCTGTAACCATTAGGAATAAAAAAAAGTAAATGACATTTTTGTTTAATATTTAATGAACTTTCATTTCATATGTGGCCACTTTTAACTCCGACCAACGGTTATAGAGATTTTTGCCAAAAACCAAAAAGCCCTGTTTCTGCTAATTGCCGATAGAGCTCGTCTTATATTTATGGGGACATTTGATATAATCTTCCCTAGGTACCTAGAAATAAGTTTGCAAAGTTTCAAAACGTTCAGATTTTTTCGGAGGTTAAACCTTTTTTGACTGGACTGTTATATCAACCAGATCATTGATTGTGGTTACAAAAATCTCTTTTGCTAAATATAAAGTCTATAATTGAGCTATTAAGAAAATTTTGTTGAGTACACTCAATTACAAGTTCCAAAGAAATTCGTATATTTTTTAGCCTTATGATTGAATTATAATATATTGCAAGTGTAATAGTCGGTAGAAAATCTTTCTTTGAAAGTAATGTGAATTACCTACTGTTTTTTTCATTTTGAAGGAAGGCTTTACCGACTGTAATCTTCACACCTTGTTAGGCCCTTCATTTTACAGTACAAGGGGAATTTGAGATAGAAACACAAAAGTTAATTGAGTGTACTGTTTAACATGAAATTTGTTTGTTGAATAGCCTATTTTGTTTTTACTTTTTAGTTGACAAAACACTTAAAACATGTATGAAAGCAATCTAAGATAGGCTTGGATTGATCAATCCTGCTTGAAGAATATATTTAACATGTTTAGTAAATTAGTTTCAACGTTGTACAGGCATTATCCGCGGGATGTGTATATTTCCTTTATGTAACAAGCGAGTATTAAATACTGCGATAAACTCTGACACAATTAAATCAATAATTTCTTTCCTACCGTCCATGTACAAGAAACATGCCTGAAAAAAAAAACTCCTTACTAAAATATCTACAACCAAGGCCGAGTTCTATTGACATAAAAGAATTTTTAGGAACTTTTTGTATATGTTTAACACAACATTCCTGACAGGTGGGGCTGATTTAGTAACACATTGTATGCACAAAGCAATCAATTCTTCAGACGGAATTCTCGTTTTATTTGTATCTTTAAAAACTCAAAAGTTTTCTGGTTGAAACTGACAAACTTACACTTAAAGCGAACCTAATAGGTTTTTAATATATAACATCAACAACTTCTTTTAGAGTGTTACTTAACTTATAGAGAATATATTCATTATTTTATTAGATTACAAGGATCAATTAATTAATATATTAACAACATAAAACATACTAATATGTTCATATAAATGGCCACTAATTTAATTTAAGCATGGCATTAAGTGATAAAAAAGTTTATAAAATTAATATACACAATAAATACAATGAAATATTACAAACTCTCGAAGAAAAAATATTGAGCCTGAATCTAGTGTTGTATTTACAGAGGACTCCATCATAATGGAAAAGCTTTGGAGCCAATTATTTAAAAAATTGTCTTTAGAAAACCTATTCAAAAATGCTTTGTTGATTAACTATTTGGTTTGTTACAAGATTTTGTTCACTAAATGAACTATTTAAGTTGGACGATAAATAACTTAAAAACTAGGTATGTGTGATTTTCAACGAAAACGTCTTTGTTATAATTATCATGCTGGGCTATCTTAGATGTCATGAAATGAGTGTCATGAATAAGAGAAAATGTAAGAGACAAACAAATTAAATATCAATTAATTAATATTCTAACATGTATGTCTTTAAGAGTAAAAAAATGAAGGAAGACAGAAATTTGAGTAAATAGAAAAAGACTAATTTTAGCAGTTAAGCTCTGGTTGGTTTTATAATCTATACATTTTTTTAGATGGTGAAACATCTTTATATATATATTTGATGACAGAATTTATCTGTAAAAATAAATTTAACAGCTTACCATACATGAACAAATTTAGTTTTCAATATTAACAATAACTTTTTCACACTTAATACTAAAGCACCATAACAGATATAAAAAAAAACTTTAGAACATACAACAAGAATAAAAAAGTCACAGTAAGTTACCAATTTTTAAAAGGACTAGAATGTGTTTAATTTTGGTTGAAATTCTGTTGCTACAAACAACAGAATTTCTTTTGACAAAACGAACTATAAAATTATACTTAGGCGTAATTATGATTAACCTAAGGTTTAAGCAGTTTGAAAGTATAATACAAAGCACAAATTTCATGAACACCAAAATTACAGTCTCACAAAGCTGTTTTGTGAACACAACGACAAAAAGCAAATGATTATCAAAACACAAATATTTACAAGAAAATAGGCCTAACGTTTAAGAATATCACATTTAAAACATTAGTTAAGTATTGTTCCAGTTGAAGTAAAAGCCATTAAAAAAACTAAATAAGGGTGAAGTTCTTTGTGTATTTTTATTTTTAGGTAGATTAGCATAAAAAAGCAAGCCAATTGCAGTCGTTTTTTTTCTTTCAAAGTATACAAAAACCATAAATTGATATATACCAAAAGTGTCGTATTACATTACAATTAGTTATTCTATTAGAAGCTGTCTGCTATGAATAGCACACATTCACAAGCCAAAGAAGACAAGAAGTTTCCTAAATCTAACTCTCACAAGATATATACAATTTAACAATCCTCTGTCAACTTTTTAGGGATTTAGAAAGTGGATCAATTAATTCACATTGTTGCATGGTGTAAATTAAACTACATTTACTGTAATATATCTAATCTAAATAATCAAATCCTATCTTTTTCACGTGATTATGATTAAAGAAGAGCAATTTCAAGGATTATATATGCTGTTTTCTATGCTAATTATTTATGATTGTCCTCCATGGATAAAATAATAAAAAATTGTAAAATACTGTAATTTCTTAACCTGATTTCCAATTATTTCTCCAATGTTTCATTTTCACATTGTTTTTAGACCATTATTTACAAGTCTATATGAAATAAACTTCATGGTTGCGCCAATTTTTAACTGAGAAATCAGGTAAATTGAATGAAGGATTTAACTAGTTTAATTTACAAATTTTTATTTTCTTCAGGATATGTTCGAACCCCCAATATGAATCATTGCACTTAATAGAAACTACTAAACTGATCAAATATTTTTTAAGAAATTTTTTTCTAAACAAAAACACACACATGACTTTCAATGAATACTACTAATAGCCCAGAAACCACACCAATACGTAATCTTGAGCCAAACTTTACTAGTTGATACCATCACCGGGCGGGGACGAGAACCAAACCGAGCTGGGTATATTTATGAAATATTTCCAACTCCTTCTTCAAACATTAAGGCAAAATATCTCGTAAACAGTGCAGCTACCGTGAAAACATTTATGTAATTACAGAAAAGATATGTGAGTTCATTTACAATACTGCTGATTGAAGACAGATGAAAAAGAATTTGTAATCTATAACATGTTTTACGCATATTTATTTACATCCTAACAATACTGGAACATATTTTACAAGCGTAGTCACTAGAAGAGAGAGCAGTCACCACAGTGGCTCTATGTTCATGTTGACAAATCCCGGACTCTTGCGAACCTCCCAGTACTTGTGGTTGAACTCCCACGTCTCCTCGCCATTGTCTGTCGCGCTTTTCCTGTCAATAAACGATTTGGCATCAGTTATCAATGTTATCATATTAGGAGTAGTTGTAATCTTGACACTTAAACTTAATTAAAACAAATTAACAGGCTTTTGATTGCCAAATAATATTTAAAACTGTTTAAATAACTGCCAAAAGGCTATCAATTTAAATTGTAAAAGCAACTAGTTCCGTCATGCACCTTCATAATCAGGTGGCACAAGGATGTTTTTTTTTATTTTTCTTCACATGACAATCGTCAAATTTAAATAACACAAAAGTAAACATTTAAAAAGGTTAGACACATGCTTCAATCATGTGCGTGGTAACTGATCAGTAACAGATGAAGTTAACCCTGCGAAGTTTAAGTCCACTGCAGTATTCCTGTTGCAAAGAGCATTTTTGCTAGGAGGTTAAGATTTTGTTTTGTGTTCGCACGTCCGTATTGTTGAGGTAGGTGATCGGCTCAAGCTGGTCCGTACTGACAGGATGTATATTTCAGTGTTCACAGTCAAAGTTGATGTCATGCTTAAAGATGTGCTAAAAGTGTTTTTTCAATAACAAGATTTTTAAAGTAGCTTACTGTGAAGCTGATCTAATAATACATGCCAAATCTAAACTTGTGAACGGTATTTCCCCTATTGGTACCTTGAGGTTTATTGTCTTATTGAATTCATCAGTGTTATACACTTCAGCCAAAAACATATAATTGGTAAGTACAAACCTACATACATCTCAAAGCTAGGAAGCCATTTTAGACATTTTTAAAAGGCAGTGAGTTTTGAGCAAAGCACCAATCTACTGAGTTGTCTGTTTATGATCCTTGAAAAAAGTGTTGTCAGTAAAATTTACTTTCAAGTGGGATTAATTTTTAATATTTCATCAGACTATTTTTTATCCTACACATGCATGATAACTTTTTTGTTTTCCTATATAATACAGTTAAATCTAACACTAACTAACTAAGTATTAATTGTTAATCATAGCAAAGCTTTAACACGTTCACTGCGGGCGTATCCGATCGGATATGGGCCGAGCGCTGTTCAGACGCTGCCGTAACCGATCGGATACGCTCGGCAATGCCTTTCGTATATCATGGTTTTTGCTCTAGCGTCGGTCGAAGCGAAGGCAGACCTATTCCACGTTAGCGTGTAGTGGGTGACTTGCTTTTTGTTGTGTTGTAGGTTGGTAGTAAAATTTCTCTATAAAATCCCCGTCTGGCAAACTTAAAAATCAACTTGTTGTCCCGTCTTTCTCCCTCCAATTGGCAATACGATGGGGCCGGCTACGTTCCAAGCAGTGCTGCTATATGTGAGAGTTTAGCGAACTACGTCGACTCTTGTTATAAAACAGGACATCACCGCACGTTATTTGCTATTCGTCATACCGAAATATGAGAGCCAAACACCCGGCAATCGGGTTTGTTCGACGCTGCGGGCTGCGCCGCACTGGGGCTACGCCTGCCATTTGATGGCCCGCAGCGAACGTGTTAACAACCTTAACAAGTTAGAAACACTTGCTTAACTTAGGGGATATGGAGTATTTTTTTTAAATTCTGTTTTTAATTACGACACTTTAAAATGCAACAACGCAGTTTAGCAAGCACACACTATATCTGACAGTGGACTTTGGCAACATTGATAAGCTTTTGGAATTAGGCTAACTAAGCTCCTGCCATTCAGCATACAAGGATAATGTTAAACATTTTTTTTAATAACTCACTCATCCAACATTTCTAATTCCCGATATGGACAAGACCTGTAATTTTTATGGTGTAGTAAAATCGTAAAGTAAAACTATAACTGAAAGTATCAATTTACATATTTGGATTCTTTTAAATGACATAAGTATAGAAATACACTAATAACACCAATGGATATTGCATTTTACAAAATAACTTTATCCAACATTAATTTAATTTTATGTGATCTGTCTGTTAATTTAGTTAGGTATTTGTTGTTCCTTGGGTGAAGTAACATTATATATATAATTTCATTAAGACTCATACATGCCCTTCAAGTAAGGGCAGAATTTGAACTAGATGTGTCAGACCCATCTTTTGAGGATAAGCTGACTTCCACTGCCCAACACAACCTAACAGCTGATGAAAGAAAAGCCATCTCAACCCTGAAATCAAATCAATCGATCATGATCCTCCCAGCAGACAAAGGCTCCAACAACTAAAAGGCTCCAAATAAATCCAACAACATTTCCCCTAAAACTGCAAGTTTATTAACTCCAACAGAACCCATCACACCCAAAATATACATCCTACCTAAAATCCACAAAGGCACGATCCCCCACCCGGTAGACCCATAGTCTCAGGCTGCGGCTCCCCAACAGAGAGGATATCCTCTTGCGTTGATTCTTTTTTACAACCACTGGTCCAAAACCTAGCCTCATACATAAAAGATTCTAATGACTTCCTCATCAAACTCAACAGTATACCCCAATCTCTACCAGATGGCACACTCCTTGCAACGATAGATGTAACCTCCCTCTATACCAACATCCCCCATATCCATGGCCTAACAACATCAGAACAGTATCTACAAAACAGACCTAAAGGTTTACTCCCTACAACTTCCTTTATCATGCAGCTGATTAAATTAATTTGGGAAAAAACAATTTCCAGTTTCTTGATAAGCACTACCTACAGATTAAGGGGGCCGCCATGGGGACTAGAATGGCACCGTCTGGTAACTGTAAGAATGGAAACTGTGGACGTCTGGTAAGTCGCAGAAAAGTGGGAGGGGTCTTAAATTAAAGGTCTTGACCCCAGGGACTCGGGAAAAATACCAGAATTCCCATAAAGTTACCAGAAAACGAGATATAACGTAAAATATCCAGCATAAGATAAGCATGGGGACTGAAAAATGTCTGCATTCTAATCAGCTGTTACTTATTTATTTGCAATGTTTACATTTATTCCGAAAGTCAATGTTGTTAAATAATGTTTCAAAATGAAATGTATTTGTTTAATTTTTTTGGTTTTCCGTTTTTATAATGAGTGAAGTAACTAGACAGGGTAGGGCAGGGGGGGGGGTTTATTGGCCTGCAAAACGTGAAAGAGTATCCAGGAGTTTTTTTGTTTTTATAATGAGTGATGAAGTAACTTATCAGGGTAGGGAAGGACCTGCAAGACGTGGAAGAGTATCGAGGAATTCAACTAACACAAGAAATGCAGAAAGAGAACGTCATGTAAGGCCTAAATATGAAAGAAATCCACAAGCTGGTTTACAACCTGCCTTCAGAAGAACGCTGGAAAATGAGTTGAGTGTTGTTTCTCACAATCTAGGTCCTTTTAACAGCACTTGCATGTATTTAGGCGCATTTCACTTCACAGAGGAGGCCACAAATTGACATTTCAACGCATGTTGCCCCAATGGACTCATAAACATGCCACAAACACAATTAAATGACAAACTAAAAGAAATGTTTTTACGCCACACTACACTATTTTGATGAACTTCCCACGCAAGGATTTAGTCCAGAAAACAGCTTAATCAAATGGTTTGCTGTCAGCTTAATCAAATGGGGTTTCATTGCGTACTACTGTACTGTAATGAGTTTTACCGGACACCAATCAGCTGATTATACTGTATTTGGGTGGCAATGAGTAGTTATAAACAAAAACATAACCTCTCTTAGAGGTTATGACTAGTGATTTTTAGTCCTTTAGTTGGTGGTAATATATAAGGATTTGTACAGATTTAGTAGTGTGGCGTAAACTACCGTAAGACACTCGTCCAAAATGTGTTTACCGGACTCGTATGGTAATCCCTTACTCGACTTCGTCTCGCACGGGAATGACCACACTTGTCCGGCAAACACTTATTTTCAGGACTAGTAACGTAATATACTATTACATAGGGGTGTGCGAAGCAGCAAAAAATTTTCGATTCGAAGCAACGATTCGATTCAAAAGATTTTCGATTCGATTCGATGCAACTCGATTCGAAGCAATACGGTATTTTTCTATTCATAATTGTCAATTGAGTGGATTAACAATAATTAAAATGTATCACATTTGTGTAATACAAATTTTTGTTGATGTGGTATTAGGCCTATTTCATACTTAACATATGAATTTTAGGTGAAAAAATATTTATTTTCAATCATATGTATTAGAATAACTGCTGGAAATGCCAGTGAGCTGCTTTACTTGCCTATTTCATAATTTTTACTTGAATTGGCTCAACTGCAAGAAAGAAGAAAATATTTTTTTTATCAAGACATTCATTCTCATTTTAATAACTGTTTAAATAACTAAATAGGTGCCGGTAGCTAAATTACAACAAATTTGAATGGAACTTAATATAAAAAGACCATTAAGAAATAAATTTACATATCACAAGTTTAGGGCCTGTGGACCGGCTTCAGGACTGCAAGCAAGAAGAAAATAAAAATAATATGTTTCCACCATGCAATATGTATCATTCATTCCCTGCCTCCTAACCTCCTTAGTATAATAACCTCACACTTACATTATTTGTTACATCATCATAAATAAAGAATTATTATTGGCATCAGTAGGCCTACAGCTTTACCTAGGCATTATTTTTATAGGGCCTAAAATAGTAATAGGCTAGAAGCAACATGTCAAGTGGAGAACTCATTGAAGAAAAGATATTGTGTAAACTAATTTCCTATAAAACTCAAAAACAGTAAATAACATACAAACATTGTTTATGGTATAATTAATAAGGACTAAAAAATGCATATCATGTCATACAGTAGTATAGACCTACTGCAAGAGATTAAAATCCTAAAACAACTGATTTTGATAGCTAATGAATGAAAAGAATTAAAAATCCATAAAATAAAGCCAAACAATATCACAACTAATTAGGTACCCGAAAAGTAACTCTTAAATAATATATAGAAGATTAAAATAATATTAAATCAAGAGACAAGAAAGTTAAATGCTATCTTCTAGCCTAGTGCCCTTGGCAACACAGGTCAATGTTTTTAAACTACCCTCAATGTTTTTGGAACAGCAGGGCCTTTTTCTCTTAAGGAAGGGTAGTAGTATGTCAACAAAAACAATGAATCAGTCTCACCAGCCAGGCCCGGGCAACGATGTGTGAATTCAAGGTCATAGACCCTCCCCCTCCCCTCTTACACCACCCAGTTGCTTCAATTGCTGACAAAATGCAAGTGATGAAACAAGGGAGTAGAGACAAAGAAATATATTTCTTTATTCAAAAACACAAAACTGTTAGAGATTATTTTCAAAGAAATTAATTCAATGTAATTTATTGGATCTTAGAAATATATTTTTTTAACCCCATCTAACCAAGATACAGATCTGTTCACTATATCAGATATTTCTTTTGTTTATAATTTATTATGTAAAATAATAAAATATATTTTTAATTAGGTATTGAATAAACAATAAATGATTATACTAGTATGTCTGGATAAATAGTCTTTCTATTCTTTTGACTTTGTTTTCTTTGCACTGTTAGTGTTGCGTCACGGCTTTTGTCTTCTTACTCTTATCAGTAGACGACTAGACCTGGCTCTGGCTAGTGGCAGTGCGGCAATTGCTCTGTTGTGTCTTTATTCTTAAAGGTCGTGAGCCAACTTAATTTTTAATTCTCATTTGAACATTTTAATTCCTCTGTAATAATAGATATAATAATATAAGAGTGTTTCTTTGGAAATAAATTATTCTTTTTTTTCTTTTGCCCCAACAAAAATTCGGGGACGGGGACCGGCAGACACCTAACAAAAATACCAAATGAATCAGTCTATAACATTAATCTTACTAGTTAAGTATTAAGTAACAATTTTTCAGACTTATTTTTAAAATGATTTTGGAGTAACCTACCTTGTTTTGGCTAGGTTCACAGTAGTAAAATATTTCACACACTGCTTACATCAAGACAAAAAACAAACCTCTAATCATTTGCAATGTCAAAACAAAAAAATATAAAACAATTAAAGCTATATTATTTAATGCAAAGAATGTATTAAATAAGAACGCCTTCGTAAAGGAAACGCAACAGCAACGCGCTCCTGTATTGCGGGTATTGCATTGACTTTCTGCAGGCGTTTTTCGTATATGGATACTGACTCCCTCGTGAATCGAATCGTTTTTTGACCACCACTGAATCGAATCGCGATTCGATGCATCGAATCGAATCGAATCGAAATTTCGATGCATTTTCGATGCATCGCACACCCCTACTATTACATGATTCTAACTTCATAAAAAACATAAGGCAATACAGCAGAAAATAAAAGAAACGTCTTATAACACTTAAAACATATTTACGCTTACACTGTTACTCACAAGACGGTAAATATACAAAAAAGATGGTAAGTGGTGATCGATTTCTTTGATATTTAAAATATACATAGCCTATATTTATAATATATCGAGCCTAACCAAGAATCTTCTCCAAAATCTCCATCTCAAGTATACAGACAACCCTCAAAATCTGAACAACTTACTTGTACATCCCAAACTACCAGACACTTCAGAAAAACCTAACCCCAGCTCTTACCCCTGTAATGAGAAAAGGTGCAAATCTTGCAACATTCGCAAGCCAGCAGAAACATTCTACAGCTCTTTCCACAATAGACAATACAAAATCAAAGGACACCTCACCAGCAACTCAGAAAACCTGATTTACCAATTGGAATGCACCCAATGCCCTGTCCAATACATTGGCCTAACAACAGAAACTTTACGAAAAAGGATGCATGGACACAGTCATGATGTTAAAACCAACAAAGAACAACCCATAGCACAACATGCCCTAAACCACAACCTCCAATTTGACAGTTGCTACACCACAAAAGCTGTAAAATCCCTACCAAAGAACCAATGCAATAGCTCCATGCTTAGAAGATTGGAATTGGCCTATCAATTTGTTAAAAATTCACAAAATCCACCCAACTTAAACATAAGATAAACCCAAATTCCTTCCAAAATATTCCTTACCCACACAACTAACAACAGTAGTACAGTAAAATCAATGGTGTAAATATATATGTGTATATACAGTTTATAATTTTTTGTGTAGACAAAAGTGTTGGCAAGCCTGCCAGACATTTAAAACAGTGCCAGAACTGTAACTGCCATTCTACTTTCTACCTCTGAAGAAGCTCTGAAAGGGACGAAATAACAGTTTAATGTGTACTTTTGATGTGTTCTATTGACCTCCTTTGACTCTTTATTCAGGTGGGTTGGTCGTGTATCCTTCCTTTCTCCTCAATAATTATTCAACAAAGTATTAATCAACTCCAAAAATATCCCAAAGAGCACTCTGCCATAAATGTCTTACATTAGTGTGCAGTTAGGTTTTTAACACCATGGTCAATGGTCAATTAATTGGTTATTATCTTGTGACAAAATCTACACACAATTATCATTTATTACTAAATAATTGTGTTTTCGTAGTTAAATTTTAGAGCATTTTCTGTTTTCAAATCACATAGAGAAACATTGACATTATTCATCTGGTCTCTTAACTGCACATTAATGTTGGACAGGGGGTGTTTCACAGGGTAAGAGTGACTATAACTCACAACACATACGTGAACCACCGAGGTTCGTGAGCGGCCCCCGACTGCTCGTAGCTCTTGCGTCGCTCTCGTTGCGCTTGCTCCAGCTGCAACTTCATCGCTTCAGCTCCATTCAGATTACCTTCTTCCAGGAGTCTGTGGAGAACAAGTTACATTATTGCAACAGCTAGTGTAGTAATAGATTTTATTGCTTCTATTGTAGTTGTGCATGCCGCTACAATTTCCTCAAAGTGAACAACCAATGCATTAGGTTGGTATCACATCCATACTAGGGACCACGAGAGTATGCAGTTGGCGGCAGCCAATAGCAAGACTGGACTAGCGCGACGTTGCAACATCACCCGTTCACTAATTCTCGACACTAATTAAAATATACTAAACAATATTTTCAAATCATCTGGTATTCAGCTGGTTATCAGATTTGGCAACACCGCTTTATCCTCATTGGCTCCTTCAAAGTCCTGTGGTAAATAGGCTCCTCCCTCAACTGCAGACTCTCGTGGACCGTACTGTAGTAAGGTTTGTGCACAATGGTTATATGTCTGTTCTACTAGTTTTCACAACAATTAACATTCTCACCTTTGATCAGGACGGAACCTAGTGTCAGTGTTGGGCAGATATTTCGCATGGTCAGGGTTCAACTCGTTGAGCTCCATTGCGAACCTTGTAAAGCCATAGTAAAGCTCGTAGTCCTCTGGCATTGCACCTGTGAAACAGAAGGTGATGAAAACAAATAACACAAGCACATTTAAAATATATATACATAGAATAGGGTACTAACAAATTGTACTAATTTGGAGGTAGAAGCGTTGTAACAATTTTATGAATTTTGAATTTTAAAATTTTGTCATTTATTCAAAAGTAAAGAAGGAGGTCTAACAGTTTTTTTGATCATGTTGTAAGCCTGTAACCACCATGAGTCCTCTGATTTGCTGTTCCTTGTTCGAACCAAGTCAGAGTGCATACGTCACAAAAGAGGTTATAAAAAGGCTCGGACCATGTGGCCCAATCTCATTTTGTTAGAAGTTTCATGTACTGTATTATAATGTGAGATTGATTAGTGCACCTTTTCTCCGTTGTGTTGTGGGTAAGTCTTGGTTAAAACTTAACTCTATTTAATGTCAGAAATATGGAGGGTACAGAAAGTAATCTTTTTAGTTAATCATTTTATTTCATATAGCTCTATAATTTGGCCCTTCAGGCAACTAAAAAATATCTTTTGGTTTTAGAGCTCATGAACTAGTGAGGATTAATGGAGTAAATGGAATTGAAATCAAGAGACTTATTTTGAAGATTACCAACTATCAATATATTTTAAATACTGTTTTTTACAAACCTTTAAAAGATACTTTACAGTTTGTACTAGTTGGAGAAGATTATCTATATATTAATAAAATTTTATCTTAAAATTAAACGGTACAACATAAGAGTGTCAAAACGTGTAATCGAATATCACACATCTAATATCATTAACAACCCCCCACCCGAGTATTAGTACTGGTTGGGAAGTTGTCCAACCTGTGCTTAAATTGTATCAAGTAAAGCAAGGGATAAGATAGTGGAATACAGGAATGACCAGTATTGATACATTTTGGGTTGCAGAAATGAGACACCAACTAACAAAATGGTTTACTATTTGAGCAGTTGTTTTTATAAATTTCAAATAAAATGAGTGAACATCGTTGAATATCTACACACTATTGGCCGATATGTAGCCACACTCCTTGTAATATGGCAATTGAACGTCGGATGAATACAAACCTCCTGTTGTCACCATAAGTAAACCACAGTTACTCTACATTCTCCACAACGAACAACGCTACAAGAGGGTGATTCTAGCTGTTTTTTAGCATCTTGTAAGTATATGTTTTGTTATGTTAGACTCGTGCCCCGTTGCAAAGCTACTCGAGACACTGACCTGGCCGCCAGACACACTTGGCTGTAGGTGCGACGCCACAATACAACGCTTCACTCCACTTGCCAAACAAGTTCCTCACCACCTTGCCTTCGTCTTCGTCTACCACCGACCCGTGGATCTCGTGCCTCTTGGCCGACCAATAGCTCGCCTGCATAACACACCAACACCATATGTCACATATGTAATAGAATGGGTGATATGACAAAAGCTTGTTTTAAACTTGAAATACTAAATGTAAAGCCTTAAAGCAGTACTATGACAAAAATCATATAACATTTCAGAAGTAAACATTGAATAATATTAGCAGGACAGGCACAGTGTGACTAAATTCCAGGACTTTAATGCAAGATTATTTAATAGTCCTTGTAATGAAAATCAAAAACAATAGATGGCTTTGTGTAAGTTAGTAGTGAATGTGTTAATATTTCAAAATATCCCTAACCTTTTGAGAAGTTATTCAACATCTTTTAACAAATGGGTTTGGTAAAATCCATAGTACAACTTTTGAATCGCCCGTTTTATATATTTTTTTTTTATTTGGTTTATAGAATAAAATAAGAATTGTTCAGGGATTTTCTAAATTAGTACTAAGCTATTAGTGTATAAACTTGTGTAATAAAATTGAGCATGCATTATAAAACTTTACGTGTTTTGGGGAAAATTTAATGCCAACTGAAATATTGGGGTCTTGTCTGGTGCCTAGACATCTTCCATATTGAAATCTTGTATTTAAGTAGTAGATAAAGCAAAACTCAGTAAGTATATTAATACTCTAAGTACTCTAACATATCAGCAGCCCTATTCCCTGAACACACCTGAATTAAAACATAAATGCAATCTTGTAATAACATCACTGACATTTTGTCGTTGGGACCGAGAACCATTCCAAGACAAAACTTTTAATTTCTTCCGAAAGAAAAAAAGTATTCACCAGCCATCATATATGATTTATCCAAAAATATACTACTAATTTCCAAAACACAGCAGTTGTCACTGACCTTGACAAATGTGAGTTTGCAAGTGATCTTGCCAGAGGTTATCTTGAGTTCCCCGTACTGGTCGACCCAGCGCTGGGCGTTGAACAGGTTGTGTACACAGGTTGTCACCTTGTTGTACTTGTACAGGTCGTAGCCTTCACCCCCCGGCCTCATCAGCTTCACATGGACGTAGCCTACACAGTGACGATTACCTCATGTTATTGTACTCTTAGTTTTTGTAACCATTTACATTAAGTCTAAAATTTTATGTTCTCTCTTTTAATATTCTTTAAACTCAGAAGATGAGATTTGATTGTAATTTGTCAAAAATAAATTACAGGGGGTCTAAATTCTTTTAAACTAGGGGGTGCCTGCTGAAGCGGTTCTGAGTGCCACACTTTAAGAGTTTTTATCCTAAATGTTGAGATTTAAGTCTATAATCAACAAATACCATCAACATATACTCTTTTATAATTTTAGAAAATCAGACGATCAGAGGTTATTAAAGACGAGACTAGCTGTGTCAATATCAGGAACAATGCAACACTAAAAAAGTTGTTCTGACAAAATGATCATAATTTCAAAATTGTTTGTTGTTATAATTTTTAAATCCATTGTTTATTGTTAGAGGTATATAGATAGTGAAATTTCAGTTCGGATCGGATATTTAAGGCTCGGTTCGGATCGGACCGGATAATTAGAGGTTCGGATTCAGATATTTTCGGGATTCGGATAGTTTGACGTTCAAGTACTTAATAAGTACTTACTGTACAATTTTGATATTTTAAGTCAATAATCTTGGTTCGGTTATAAAAACTGAATTTTAAATTCCCAGCCTACTCAAACTTAACAAAAAAGTATACCGTATATCTTGATGCAAACAATTTATATGGTCAGGCAATGCCTTAGTGTGTACCTTGTATTTAAATGCCAACAATTTATATGGCAAGGCAATGTTTTAGTGTATACCTTGTATGTTTATGCCAACAATTTATATGGCAAGGCAATGTTTTAGTGTATACCTTGTATGTTTATGCCAACAATTTATATGGCAAGGCAATGTTTAAGTGAATGCCTGATAATCGTGATATCAGAACGTGTGATACCAAAACGTCAAAATATATCTGAAAAAATCGGATATGTAACGGGTAGTGTCGGATATCAAATTTGGGCTTGGTTCGGATACGGATATCCAAACCGAACCGAATTCGACCCAATTTTTCGGATATCTGCACACCTCTACTCATTGATTATCTTCATTTTATTGAAAGGTATTAAAGTATTAAAAAAGTGTAGAAACAGTTTACCCTACCTGTTGGCTGGAATTCCATGGACTTCCCCCAGAATTTAGTTTTTATTCTGGCGTCTTGCCAAAAGATAAAGTTCCTACTTTCCGCGTAGCAGACGCTGACAGGCGGGTGATGGCTCACCTGCAAAATTGTAAAATATTTAGTGTGAAGCCTTGAACGTCCAGTAAATATCACGAACACATTTTAATTAGTACAAAATTGATTTGTTCTAATTCAATTCCACCTCACATAAGGTATAAATAGTTTCACTTGTACCTGTAGGGGGATACAAATTAATCGCTTTGTGATTCACTCTATACCAGCCAGTGATATCACAAAAAGATTCAATAAACAATATACAGTCGATGACAAAAGGACCAAGTTCATACTGAACAACATTTTAACCTCCTTTAAGAGAGTCTTGATTCACAAAAGAATCATCAAACTGAACAGAATGTTTTGTCAAAATCAATTATGACAGCAATGAATAATTTAGACAAAGAACACAGAGAAATTAACAATTTTGTTAGGTTGTAGATCTAGTAATAACTATTTAGTGATTCGACGTTTTACAAACTAATCTGACCACGCCTAATTATAGCACAATTGTACAATTGGTACAACCTAATGTGATTTTTTTTTGTTTTTGTTTTTTTATATTACTTTCAATACCTACACAAAGACATCCAAAGCCCATGTAGGTTTTCCATTTTTTACAGTACAAACAGTTATTTTATTGTTTCATTATGGTTTTAGAAAAATGTGTTAAACTATACTAAACTGTAGTTTGTGGAATAACTCCATTAATTCGCCACTAATATTTTTACATTTTGCATGACGAGTAAGAAGAACATTAACACATTTACATTAAGGAAGAAGTTATGAGCACACAACTAAGCTTTCCAAAAAAAGTTTTAGACGTTTCAGTTTTGTAATTGCTATTCCATCATTTCCCTCTCCGTTCAAGAAGTCTTAAAGGTGAAATATTAAATTAATTTTGTTGCAAACTTATTCTGTTCTATCAGCTGTCTGCTACTCCATTCTTGGGTAAGTTAGTTGTGTTTCCATTACATTCTCCTGATATATTCGTAAGTCAAGTGCTCTTTTCTACAAAAACAAGTTTAGCACGACTTATTTTAAACCCCACATTTCACAATTATAGCAATATTCACCTGTTCAGCAACAAATCTGAAGCCCTTGTCTTCCCTGATGCACTCGTAGGTCTCGCCCAGTAGAGGGTTGAAGGGTTTGGAGCCTGCTCGGAAGTAGGAGGACCCGTAGCTAGAGACTGCAAACGCCGCGACGTACACCATCCTGTCGTAAGGGTCAGACATCTCACTGGCCTTGTCTAGCAACTCACTGTACTCCAACTCCTCACACAGCCTCTGAAACACGACAAACAGATAAGTTGGCAGAAATGTAAGATCTGCCTGTGTTGTTTCGGCCAAAGGTAAGTCATTCGTCTGTTCCTACTTGTGGACGGAGTAATGTCTTCTCTAATGTGCCAATTGTCTTAAGATAATCAAACTTGTCTAATTTGCTGTGTGTGTAAACCATTATCAATGTTACTCGTAGGGATTTAACTTTCTTTCTGGGTGGAAAATGGCACCCCGCAGCATGTAACGATTGTTACAATTGGAACTTCTGGCAGGTATTGTAAATACATATTGGTCATTAAGTAATACTTTTTGCCTAGTAAAGAAAATCAAATTTTAAAACCGCTGATTGAGCCGACCATTTGGGGTTCAAGTAAGATGGGCCACCCATCGACCAAGTGTAGATAAGAAAACCAAAAGACATAACCTAACAGTTTCAGCTTTGATGATGTTGTAAACTATACTCTCGTAATCTTAGGGATGTATTTACTTCCTATATAAAATAAACAGTTTCTAGGACAGTTTGCACAACACAGACCTGCAGCATGTTGAGAGGTTCATTGAGCGCGACAGGCATGGACACCTGAGAGAGATCCTTGCCGATGTTTTTACACAGGAGGTTCCACAGAGACAAGCCCTCGGTGTTGGGTCGTGTCGCAGGCAGTTTGGTCCTACGACCTGTCATGTTAGCACCACTGTTACATACGTCCACTGTAACAATTGACAATTCCCCACTTTACTTCACAATGCTTGTGATAAGTTTCCATCACAATTTGATAAAACAACATTAAATTGACAAAAGACAATAAAAAAGAGAAGAGCAAAAGGAGGAAGGTAAAAAGGAATAGGTAAAAATTATGTGATAAATGCTCGTAGATAGATGTATCCACTAATAACGGTAGGCCTCTCTATTATTATTGGGCTAGTTAAAAAACATAATGTCACGTACAGTATGAGCTTTTAATCAAAATTGAACATACAAGTAATCTATCAGGAGAGAGGTTTTCAAAGAGTAGCAGTTTGACCAAAGTCCCTTAGTACAAGTCATCACTGATCATCAGACAATCAATCATTTACGGAAAGTAAATAAAAGATACGTCTTTTAACACTTAAAATATTTATTTACTCTTATACTGTTACTCACAAGACGGTAACTATACAAAAAAGATGGTAAGTGGTGATCGATTTTGATGGGAAACTCCAATCATCATCAGACCCAATAGGCAAAAAACATTCTAATATTATCAAAAAACATTCACCTATTGGGTCTGATGATGATTGGAGTGTCCTATCAAAATCGATCACCACTTACCATCTTTTTTGTATATTTACCGTCTTGTGAGTAACAGTATAAGCGTAAATATATGTTTTAAGTGATACAGGGAGCGGCAGAAATATCTGACGGTTTTCAAGCGAGTACCGTCCGGCAGCCAAGTGGAGGAGGGTGGTGGGGAGCGGCTCATTCTCAAGGCCAAGTGAGACAATTTTAGTCGCCATTGAGCAGTGGACCGGTATACATCGCGCGTTTGTCGTTGAGGCGTATTTTAAAAATGGCGATTTTGTTGTTGATAGCAACGTAAGTTTCGTAGGCATTTTAATGTGGCTCGTGGGGAACCTATCCCATCCCAAAACACAATCGGATACCTTTAGATCCACAGGATCAACTGCAAAACGTAGGCCTACAGGCCGTCCAATTTTGCTGAAGTTGTTGGACGATTGCTACTTTATATGGGTGAAAGTGAAGGTCTGAGTGCAAAATTCGTCGAGTAGAGCGCTCAGACATGCCATGAGCAGCAGCTTGTCCACGCGCCGGGCGATGCGGGCTCGTTAGCACAGTTTGTCGCACTCGCTCCACGTTCTCCGGCGTCCTCACTGACCTTGGACGGCCTGTAGGCCTACGTTTTGCAGTTGATCCTGTGGATCTAAAGGTATCCGATTGTGTTTCGGGATGGGATAGGTTTCCCACGAGCCACATTAAAATGCCTACGAAACTTACGTTGCTATCAACAACAAAATCGCCATTTTTAAAATACGCCTCAACGACAAACGCGCGATGTATACCGGTCCACTGCTCTATGGCGACTAAAATTGTCTCACTTGGCCTTGAGAATGAGCCGCTCCCCACCACCCTCCTCCACTTGGCTGCCGGACGGTACTCGCTTGAAAACCGTCAGATATTTCTGCCGCTCCCTGTATAAGACATATCTTATATTTACTTTCCGTAAATTTAATAACACGTACAATGCTGATCAAGAAGTTATTCAATCAATCATTTAAATATAAATCATTTCTTTTGCCAGAGTGGACTCTTTCATTCAGGTACTGTGATCCTAACAAAACTCCTCAAAACCTAGAGATGAATTTTAAATGTTACATCCTTATTTAAGTGCTTTTTGATGGTTTTCTATTTTCAGCAGGACAATTGACAACACTAGGTCGTCTATATTGTGTTTAGTATTCTTTTATAATCAAATGTTATTAAAAAGGAGTAAGGTTTCCAGAGAGTAGCAGTTTGATTCAGACCTAACATGGCCACTACAAAGTAAACAGTTGGATGTACGACTCACAATCTTCCTTATTTCTTTCCATGTGAACATTTTTCAGAGGGCGACTTCGCCTAAAGAATTTCCTTTTACATTTACCACTGAGACTAGGAGAGGTAGAGGGTCCTGGCAAGGCTAGAAGGGTTCCTGAGGGAGATTCTGGAAGGGATTTCACTGAGGAAGATTCAGCACAATATAGTTCCGAGGGTGAAGGCAGTGAACAGTAAATAATGGACATGAGGATATCGGCAACAATCTGTTCACCCTCATTTTGGTTCTGCTCTGAAAAATGTTTGATTTTAACTATCTAACTTGAAACTTAGGATTAATTAGGACAAGGAGAGTCTAGGGGTGTGCGAAGCAGCAAAAAATTTTCGATTCGAAGCAACGATTCGATTCAAAAGATTTTCGATTCGATTCGATGCAATTCGATTCGAAGCAATACGGTATTTTTCTATTCATAATTGTCAATTGAGTGGATTAACAATAAATTAAAATTTACCACATTTGTGTAAGACAAATTTTTGTTGATGTGGTATTAGGCCTATTCATACTTAACATATGAATTTTAGGTGAACAAATATTTATTTTAAATCATATATTAGAATAACCTGTATTGCTGGAAATACCAGTGAGCTGCTTTACTTGCCTATTTCATAATTTTTACTTGGAATTGGCTCAACTGCAAGAAAGAAGAGAATCATTTTTTTTATCAAGACATTCATTCTCATTTTAATAACTGTTTAAACAACTAAATAGGTAGCTAAATTACAACAAATTTGAATAGAACTTAATATAAAAAAGACCATTAACAAATCAATTAACATATCACAAGTTTAGGGCCTGTGGAACGGCTTCAGGACTGCAAGCAAGAAGAAAATAAAAATAATATGTTTCCACCATGCAACATGTATCATTCATTCCCTGCCTCCTAACCTCCTTAGTATAATAACCTCACACTTACATTATTTGTTACATCATAATAAATAAAGAATTATCTATTATTGGCATCAGTAGGCCTACAGCTTTACATAGGCATTATTTTTTATAGGGCCTAAAATAGTAATAGTCTAGAAGCAACATGACAAGTGGAGAACTCATTGAAGAAAAGATATTGTGTAAACTAATTTCCTATAAAACTCAAAAACAGTAAATAACATACAAACATTGTTTATGGTATAATTAGTAAGGACTAAAAAATGCATATCATGTCATACAGTAGTATAGACCTACTGCAAGAGATTAAAATCCTAAAACAACTGATTTTGATAGCTAATGAATGAAAAGAATTAAAAATCCATAAAATAAAGCCAAACAATATCACAATTAATTAGGTACCCGAAAAGTAACTCTTACTTAAATAATATATATAGAAGATTAAAATAATATTAAATCAAGAGATAAGAAAGTTAAATGCTAACTTCTAGTGCCCTTAGCAACACAGGTCAATGTTTTTAAACTACCCTCAATGTTTTTGGAACAGCAGGGTCTTTTTCTCTGAAGGACGGGTAGTAGTATGTCAACAAAAACAATGAACCACTCTCACCAGCCAGGCCCGGGCAACGATGTGTGCATTCAAGGTCATAGACCCTCCTCCTCCCCTCTTACACCACCCGGTTGCTCCAATTGCTGACAAATGCAAGTGATGAAACAAGGAAGTAGAGACAAAAAAATATATTTCTTTATTCAAAAACACAAAACTATAACAGATCATTTTCAAAGAAATTAATTCATTGTAATTTGTGAGTTGTAAATATTGTATTGGATTTTAGAAAAATATATTTTTTAAACCCCATCTAACCAAGATACAGATCTGTTTACTATATCAGATATTTCTTTTGTTTATATTATGTAAAATACTAAAATATATTTTTAATTAGGTATGGAATAAATGATTAAACTAGTATGTCTGTATAAATAGTCTTTTTTTTACTTTGTTTTCTTTGCACTGTTAGTGTTGCGTCACGGCTTTTGTCTTGTCACTCTTGTCAGTAGACGACTAGACTGGCTCTGGCTAGTGGCAGTGCGGCAATTGCTCTGTTGTGTCTTTATTCTTAAAGGTCGTGAGCCAAACTTAAACTTTAATTCTCATTTGAACATTTTAATTCCTCTGTAATAATAGATATAATAGGCCTAATATAAGAGTGTTTCTTTAGAAATAAATTATTCTTTTTTTTAAACAAATCTTTGACCTGACCTGAAAAATTCGGGGACCCACAGACCCCTAACAAAAATACCAAATTTATCAGACTAAAACATCAATCTTGCTAGTTAAGTATTAAGTAAAAATTTTTCAGACTTATTTTTAGAATGATTTTGGAGTAGCCTATCTTGTTTTGGTAAGGTTTAAACAGTAGTAAAACATGTCTCACACTGCTTACATTAAGACAAAAAACAAAACCTCTCATCATTTGCAATGTCAAAAAAAAAAATTATAAAACAATTAAAGCTATATTTAATGCAAAGAATGTATTAAATAAGAACGCCTTCGTAAAGGAAACGCAACCGCAACGCGCTCCTGTATTGCGGGTATTGCATTGACTTTCTGCAGGCGTTTTTCGTATATGGATACTGACTCCCTCATGAATCGAATCGTTTTTTGACCACCACTGAATCGAATCGCGATTCGATGCATCGAATCGAATCGAATCGAAATTTCGATGCATTTTCGATGCATCGCACACCCCTAAGTACTACTAAATATAAACTTAAACTATCAAAGTCTAACTAGCTAATTTTAGTCCTGCTTATCTTCTGGCACTGCAAATCTCAGCAAAACTACAGATACTGCAAATTTCATTAATCGAGAGATCTCTAAACCAAATTTCAAAAGTCAATTGAACTAATTGTTTGAAGTTACAAATTATGGTATTTCCTTTAAACTTATTTTTAAGAGATCTGAAATGAAACAAGAAAGTGTTTAGTATTAGCCTATTAGGACGAGATTTGTTTCATTGTGCCATGTATTTGGTCAATTAAATTAAAACTGTTTCTAAAAAATGCTTTGAAACAAGTTAGTAGTGCACAGCTACAGAGTATGAGTAACTAAACCAATGTTTCCACCGCATTGTTTTAAATATTTTGCTACTTTGTGACATTTTCTCAATAATTTTGAACCCAATGCCTCAGTTGTCATTATTTGGGGGTATAGTACAAAGGTCCCTTGAACTTACAAAGCAACATACTAATTTAATTTATGTAATATGCATTTTAGAATATGTATAACACATTTTACACTTGAAATATTGTTTAGTTACAATATTTTATTAAGTAAAATAATTCCAAAGTTTTGTTTAATAAAAGCTCAGGTTTAAAAACTTACTTCACACCTACCTCCTTCTAAGGTTGGCACTCCAAAAATTGTAGTATATATATTTCTAATAAAATCCACAAGGCTTTGATAGCACATTTAGAAAAACAATAATCACAAGGAAAATAACTGTAGTTAAAAATCCTATCAAATAAATTATTAACATAGGTTACTTTATAAAAGATCTTTATATTTGTAAACAAATTATGACAACAACAGGTTTGAAAACAAAACCTTTTTTGTTTAAATAACATATGATGTTAGTTTTACAAAAAATCAGATGATCTAAATCTCCAATCCAACTGTGAGTAAACAATTTTAAGTTTTTGGGCATTGAATTTTTTTTGTTTTTCTCAATGTAGGCCTATACTATAAAATAAGTATGGTCTACCAAAATTTCAGTGTTATTTGTTTAGGGACTAATCCAAGTTTATTAGCATTTCTTACAGTTCTAAGGCACACATCATTAACACCATTAAGATGGATATTTTTAATTAATACACGGTGAAGGAAAATAGCAGAAAATGTTAACAGTGACTTATGATTCTCTAATTGTGAATATTAATACCTGTTAGTTTGTTCAACTTAAAAATAGGCTTACATTACAAAATTTCACCCTGTCGTGTCCACTTTGTATAAATCCTTAATTTAATTCAAACGATGACTAGGGAGCAACAAACACTTGTGGGTGGGGTTTTTTGTCTAAATATGAATTCTGAGTGAGTGTTGAATGAAGTTAGCTAGTTAATAATGTTCATTGGTGTTACTGGCTAGAATCATCTTGCCCACTTTCACTTACTCCTGTGGCCATTTTAAATCAAGTTTATTAATTGCCTCACCAGCATACTGCCTCAACATTCTTTGGTCTACTTCCATTTCTGAAGCCAAACTAAGCTAACATCCTTTACTTTGTCATTCCAGGGCATTGTGGGTCGTCCTAGAGGCTAAACGAATAGAAGCTAGACTGGGACGGGTGGCGTCGTCCTGTAATCCAGCTACTATAGTCCTCGCCACCTTAACTTGAGGCAGCCCAAGGCCGCACTAGATATACGGCGTGCGGCCTTGGGCTGCCTCAAGTTAGGGTGGCGAGGACTATAGAAGGTCCGAATTGTGGATATTTATAGACATGCACTGTGGATGCAATACTCCCTGGTGTGGATTAAAGTCTGCATGAGTGAGTACTACGACTATCCACAGTACTATCCTGATAATTAAACCAATTCCTATATACCAAGGCAAAAATTTGGTTCGGATTCCACTATAAACTGTAGGTTCCTTAGTTGCCATTAGCTGTAAGGGCTAATTGACTATTCCTGTAATGTCTGGTTTATTGTGCGATTCTTGATTTTTGCAGTTCTCTGGTGTTCTTTCATATTCTCGAATTGCCATCTTAAGAGGGTATACAAAGGAGTAGGCAATGTTTGTATTTCGTACCGGCTAAAACCACCTTACTTATTCAAACCTTAGATTAATGGAAACCAAGTTGGGTTTTGACCAAAACCACCTACTTAATTTTTTATCTAGAACTAACTGTAACCCTTAACTAAAAAATGTACAGTATGTAAAAAATGTAAAAAATGTTTTCTGATTTCTGATTTCTAAAAGCTCGATGATCAAAATTACAACTTGGTCCAGTTTTAAACTTAACAAAATTTTACATATTTTTCTCCAAACCGAACTAGCAGCCTTCTAAGACAAACACTCTTTAATAAATAATATATAATCACTGCTTAAATCACGACACTTACAAGGCTGCATGGGGTTGTACTCTGAGCCGCCCATCTCACTGTTCTCGCTGCTCACACTGCCCTCCTCACTGGTGAGAGAGCCGGCCTCAGACGACGTATCACTGCCTCCCCCTCCTCCTCCTCTACCCTCCCCACCAGCACCTTCTCCCTCGCCACTCTCTGCGTCGAAGAACTCTGACGCGCTGAGACACGAGGAACTGTACGAAAGCGACTGATGCAGAGGTTTTTGGAAGCAGTCGTACACCTGGAATTAGGCAGTGATGTACTGTATAAGCAATATTATACATTAATATGATTATCATTCATTTATTCCTTAATTAAAGGTAAAATACTTTATTAAAAATTTAGAGGTAGCTGGATAAAACTGCTAACATAATGTGTCACTATTATGTTTACTCAATTCAAAGGACAAGTTAACTACAACCTCTTCTCGACACATTAACTATCATGGAAAGAAAACTAAGAAATTAAATGAAATTTTAATTAATAGAACATTCAGTAGACTCATTCATCTGAATTTTTTTAAATCTTATCAGTTTTCTTCTTTTTTTTACATAAAAAAACAGATGATACCTAATCTATAAGATAAAATATTTTAAATTATTATCATCTAGAAGATATAAGGGGCCCTAAAACAGTATGTAGTCTTTTTGTAGTTTAATAAAAAAATTTGTCATACTCAAAGTTTACATACTCATGATGTGTAAGAATAAGTCTAACAAAGCAAGCAACTATAATAAAGTGTGTAGGTGAATAAAATCTACAAAAGCAAGTCTTTTAATGTGATTGTGCTGCTAAAACCAGTTCTGAACTACACAAGTGTTCAATTTTGTCTTTATTATATAGATGGTGAGAGAAGCGAAATAGAGGAGGTAAATGTGTAAAAAAATTTATGATATATTAAGTGATAATTGTTTCTGTGAAAGCATAGAGTCTACTGAAGTAAGCCATCAACCCAAAAAGTAAATCTGCTATATTTTCGGGTTGGGTAAATAGTTGGGCTGAGGGAGCATTTATAGCTGTAATAGTTTTTGGGCCAAGCTCAGGCCAGGTCATAGATGTGTGTGAGCTTTAATTTTCGAAGGTATACGATAACAAATTGACAATTTTGCTAAAATCGCAGAAGACAATTATAATGTCTCTGCGACAGTGGTAAATGTTCACATTTTCACTGACCGTGGAAGATGATCCCGATTCCGCCGTGACAGCAAAAGAGGTTGCGTGAGATAATGTACAATATTGTTTAAGCTAATGCAGTATTATAATTAAAATAATATTTTAAAAACATACTTTCCAAAGTACCTACCCTAAATTTTGGCCCGAGATCCATGCCAAAATATTTGACCTGAACATTGTAAAACTAGCCCAAAGACCCTTACAAACAGTTTCTAAAACCAACATCCTTGTGCTTTGTGTTACATCCTTAACCTATAACTGTGAACTATGGATTTTTTTACAACAATATTTTGTCACGGGTAACATTTCTTAACCTAACTTATTGCTAGAAGCAAAGTGCGAGTGACTCACTACTGGCGCCGGGTGCTGTGGACTCACAGTTTCCGAGAGGTCACTCAGGTCGGAGCTCTCGTGTATGCGGTTGAGTCGTGCGCGCAGCTCGCTGTTCTGCTGGATGGTCTGGTGCAGCGTGTTGCGCAGCGTAGCAATAACTCCGCTGTTGCCTGCACTGCCTTCAGCTTCCAGGGCACTCTTCAACCTCTCCCGCTCCGTGCTGAGCGTGTACAGGACGGACTTCAGACTGGAGTGGACTGGAACAACCAACACCAAAGTTTGCAATAACACTTTGAAGACTGTGGATTATTCACTGATTCCATTGAGCATTTTCTGTTATGGTTTTCCTCTACACTCAACTTCATTCAAACTTGGATTAAAATACTTACATTCGTATGGTCGCCATTTCAAAATCAAGAATTAATATAAGTATTAATAAAGTATCTTAGGTTTTTTAAAAATCAAAATTATTTAAGAACATTTTTGTACATATAGGAGACATATTAGTGGTAAGCAAAAAGTAACAAAATGTCAGATTTTATGTGCAACTCACAAAAAAATCACCCATCCTACCCATTTTAGTCTGAGCCATCCAAAAATTATTAATTATTAATTTACTCCAAGATTGTTTTAATACACATTGATTTCAAAATTTTAGGGTCAATGCATGAAAACATAGATGTTTCTTTGTCCAGTTTTCATAGTGGGAATAGAATGATTTTGAAATTTTCTAGGAAAAAAATCTTGCAATATTACCATGTTCACAGAGAGCGTCTGTAAAGATGAATCATCAAAAATGCACAATATTGCTGTGATCAGGGAGATAATCACAACATTGCCAAAAAATTGTCCACGAGATTATCAAGTAAACACAAATTCTGTTAACTACCCAATCACAATTAGGAATAGTTAGGTTAATCACACATCTATTATGCTAAATAAATTCCATAAAACTAATTAAAACTCACGTTCTTTGGCCAGCACGAGGTAGTCGCTATGCAGCTGGTTGTCAGGGGCCTGCATGGCAGGAAGTCCAGTGGTGGGGGGAAGGGGAGGGAACAAGTGATCCCCGGCAGGGAGTGACTGTGGCCGAGTCACCCCCACCCCCGCCGTGGTCAGAGAGGGGTTGCTGCTACTAAGCACTGCCCCTACTGCTGAGATGGAGAGACCACCACTGCACGAACAAGTCTGTGGATCAAACAAACGTGTGTCATGTAAGACGAACGAGTGAACGAACAAGTTGAACTATGGATGGCTTAGTCATTTTTCCTTTAGCACAAAGAGACAGTAAATGTACACAAAGGTATTATTTTTTTTATTGCATGGAATTTTTTTATTGTAGTGGTAGTTGTAGTAATTGATTGGAGCTCAAATACAAAATTCTGGCCTAATTGACCAAATGTTTCTAAACAAATAATGTTTTCAAATTTTTTTCCTAAAAAGGTGGAACAAACCATCAGGTGATGGCATCATCACACAGTCATTCATTGCTGATTAATGAGATTAGAACTCGAGCAGAAGTACTGTGCTCTAACCATTGGATCAACTCCGCCATTCGAGAATGTCAGTAATTAAGTTTGTAAGTAAAAATTCCAAACCAATCATCATCAAATCTGATATATTGAATACTTATTAAGAATCAGAACCAGAATCTGAGTACACATACACAATATACATGAATAGTGTTAGTATAACAAAACAAAAATATTAACAAGAACCAGACGAACAAGAATGGTTTGTAATTAACTTTAGAAGAACCAGCTGAAAGAGTTATTTGTGTAGCTAGTTTGCGAAGTGGCACTTTGTTGCCAGTGTTTCCATTCGCGGGATTATTATCCCGAAAACGGGATTTTTAGACCTTGAGCGGGATTAAAACGGGATGCGGGATAAAACGGGATTTTCGGCTGTGACGAGTATTTATATTTTTTTCTACTCAATTTTAGAGAAAAACTAACTCAAATTGTTTAAATACTGTAGCAAAATATAATAGTGATGTTTAAACAACTTATAAAAATGATACGTAAAGTTTAATACAAGGAATTGTACCAAAAAAATCATGCGGGATAAAACGGGATTTCTCAACCCAGTAAGCGGGATTATTTTTTTGGTCGTGTGGAAACACTGTTTGTTGCACATGACAGAAATGTTTACGCACAAGCCACAGGTGAGTGTGGAAAGTTTCTCGAGTGCAGCAAAGACACTTAGCACTCGCGTTACACATTATATTTTTCATTCAGTCTAAAGAAAATTTTTTGTTTCTAGGGTATGTTGAGTAAGTTAGTCTTTGTGTCTGGTGTCATAATTGTGATTGTCCTAACTAACAGAAAAGTTAGAAATCTTTAGTCTTTTAAATATTAGCAAGTAAATAATTAACATCAGCCAAACATTTCTTGAATTCCTTTCATAACCTTTTTAAAATGGCCCATCAAGCAACGCCAAATATGTGAATAGATGAAAATTCAAATTGCATCGAGTTCCCAACCCAACTTACCGAGAGTGGAGAAGACGACTCATTTTCTACAGTGGTCTTGTTGGGACTAGAACCTGCATTAAGATCCACAGAGCTGCCTTTCCCACTCTTCTTCTTCCTCAAACCAAACTTGCGCCTGTCTTTCTTGACATTGGGTGAGAGGCCGTCGGACGCACTCATCTGTGAGACAGAATGCTTTATCACAAACCTTCCATATAGGGGATAATAACTAAATAACATGCCTACTCTTAATATTAAAACAGTGACACTTAAAACCTTTCAAAGATAAGACCAATTTATTTAGGTAATAAATTTTGAAATAAGTGCCATTCATGAGAGCATATACCTTTCAGTCAGCAAAAACTGTTTATGCAAGTTTCAACTAGATTGAAATGTTTGTAGAACTTTGGTTGTTTATGTAAGTTTGGCTTTTAATTTGAATTAAAATACTAAGACTAAAATACCAAAGAACTAAAATTGGTTTTTAATCAAAACAAACACAGCATTATTTTAAACTCAGAAGCGATTATAAAATAGCACATGTAAAATTGTAGTGAGACATCTACAGGTCAATTTTAAGATCACTCATATTGTTGCTTTGGACAATCAGAGATCCGGCAATGAATGAGGAATTGGTTTTGTATTTCAGGGAAGTCAAGTCACTTCCTAACTTATTTATAGCTTACACTACACATATATAGTTGCAAAACTTAACTCTGCACATCTACCAAGATCACGTAGTTGAATGAAATATCTTTGTTTCTACGGCCCATCAAAATGTTTACTTAACGTTTACTTTTTAGTATTTATTATGTTGTACTAATTCAAGCTCTTGTCCAAAGATTTTAAACAAATTTTAAATGCCTCCTTCATATAAAATCAATATTTAACCTTTAACAAACATGGAACAGAATAGTACACGAAATACTGCATTGCCTGACTCACCATCAATCAATTAAAGTACCAGTAGGCCCATTTGACTTGTTAGTGTTATCGTTTTATGAATAGAAAATTAATTAAATTATAAATTTTAAACTGTATGACCATGCATTCCTTTATCACTTTACAATTCCATTCTAAATTAGCAATGAATACTCTTTAAGATTTGTTGTCTCTAAAATGTTTGACTGAGTAATCCAAACAAACTTTACATTGTATAAAAAAAGCTCAGATCATTTATGAATCCTATACACTGAATCTAGTTCAAAATAATTACCACACAAAACCAAAACAGGTAGAAAAGAAAACAAATGCAGTAGTCAACCATGTGGTGGATGGGTCTTTCGATAAATACCACACTTCTACTATACTCAACAAAATAAAACGTGACTCAAACTGTCTTATTGGGGAATGTTGCTGAAAGTCAACAGTCCCGGAAGATCAAATAATTTATACCTGTGCCGCTAGGTCAAAAACTACAATGTTTGCAGTGTCTGTAGATCAAAAGTTCCAGTAAGTCAAATAGTACAGCCCGAGCTAAAAACGTAGTCTATGTTAAAGCAATTGACTTATTGGGAATTTGACCTAATGCAACAGCAGTTTTAATATAACGAAATAAGGTAAAATACAAGTTCAGTTTCGCTGAGTCAACAGTGCCGGAAGATCAAAAGCAATAAAACAAAACGTCGATTCGATTCAGTGTAAAGTAGACCTCCTGCAACGCTTACTACACCAACAAAACTCGCTTTTAGTTACTTCGTGTTTTGTCATAATTAGAATAGAGCTAAAATTATCATATTTGGTACATAGCTTATCTATTAATGCTTCTTGCCAACTGTTTGGTCAACACTGTAAATAGGTATAGTTTATGTAATGAAAAGCCTTTCGTCAAAATTTGTGGCATAAAATACACGCAAGGACGATCTGAAAATTTCTGGTTATTATATACGTTTGTAAAAGGAGATCCATTTAATTGTAGAACTATTTTATGAGTTATAATGTAGTCTACATATAAACTGTGTAAATGTATTACGCCTCGGAAGGGTTGAAACCTGTCCAAACTATCATATATATTATTAAAACGTAAATGGGATTTTTTCACGATTCTGAATCAACCAGACGATGGATTTTCATTAGTTTTGTGTTGAAAGAAAGATAATTTTGAGAACTAGGGAATGTCAAAGCCATAATTATAATTAAGGGTCCCAGTTTTTTAGAAATTAAGTTTTATTTTTAAAAAGTCTAGCAGCCGACGCTAACCTTCTAAGCCAGCTTTTAGTACAATATAATTTGCTTAACATAACAGCTGTAAACATTCCATCTGTGACACAAATTCAGCATTTGGAAACAAATTTAAAGATATAATTAGAGTTGACTTGTTTATACTATGTGTAATGCTGACCATTGATACATTCAATTCTTAGGTATGAGGATGGCAGATTAATTAAATATGCATAGTAAAATAAAAGGATGTTCAAATTATTTTTTAAAGGAATCTTTGTAATCATCGATTTGTTTTAGTCCCATATAATTTGTTTTAACTAACAGCTGGTTGAATGTAATATTGTTCTTTATAACTATTAGGTTTTTGGAGAATTTCCCATATAGGGAATAAGCTATTACCGTAGTACTTATGGTAACACCTGGACCCGGGACCGATTTCATTTTTCGTTTTGAGCTCCCTAGAGGCCAAAAACATCATCCGTTCAAATTCATATATACAGGGTGATCAACTCAAGGAGGCCACCATTGAGAAATCGGAAACGGTAAGAATTAGAGAAAACATTAAATGGGGAACATTCCTTTATTTTTTGTGTCAGTTAAAAATATGATTTTAGTTTTTTTATCATGTTTTCGGATAGAATATGCAATTTCAAAACTTTTTTAGCCTTGACCCTTTTCGATTAACCCACTCGTTTAGGAGTACAGCCTATGGGAAAATGACTTCCGGTGTACATTTTACATCATGTAGCTCCTAAACGAGTAAGTTTAGAGCAAAATTGCAAAAAGTAAATTAGTCTTAGAATTGCATCTACATTCCTTAAAGACTATAAAATAAAAAGTTTTCCACTTTTCAAGTTTGCTGCCATTTCTTAAATAATATAATTCATATTTTTTATGAATTTTATGGTCTTTTTTGAATGTGGATGCAATTGTAAGACTTTTTTACTCCTCGCATTTTTGCTATAAACTTACTTGTTTAGGAGCTACATGATGTAATATGTACACCGGAAGTCATTTTTCCATAGGCGGTAACTCCTAGACGAGTGGGTTTATCGAAAAAATTTCAAGGATAAAAAAGTTTTTAAATTGCCTATTCTATCCGAAAACATGATAAAATATAGGGTTCGATAAGAAATTTCAAAATTGGCCGCCATTTTGGAAAATGGTGGCTGAATTTCAAAAAACTAAAATCATATTTTTAACTGCCACAAAAAATAAAGGAATGTCTTCCATTTTGAGTTTTCTCTAATTCTTACCGTTTCCGATATCCCAATGGTGGCCTCCTTGAGTTGATCACCCTGTATAGCCTATATTTATTTATTTATATATTTTTCCCGGGGGGAACCCCAGGACCCCCCTCCTTTTTGGGGGGTATTCCATACCCCCCAGGCCCCCGGTGACCCCCCCAAAATATATGTCTAGGACCGCCCTTGTCTTCTTTACCTATAAAACACATGGGATACAGCCTTTCTTCACCGATCACGTAATGTGTGATTTTCTATAAAGTGTTGGAAAAATAAAAGGTAAAATAGATAGAATACAGGTGTACTGTATGTGGTTTACACACAAATATTCATCAAACTGTGTGATATTTTGTTATTGCAATGAACAATTTGGGAGTATCGTATTGTTTAAGTCGATGGAAAATCTTTGTTGATCTTGTTTTACAAGCAAACCAAAAATATACAGTAGTCACCACTCTATGCGACATATTCTAACCAGAAAATTGTAATCGTATGATTCTATAAGCATTGGTAGGATTGCAAAGTACTACACAAACATTATTTCAAGGGTAATAACAGTCACAATTTCCGCCGACTTTAAAAGAGTCAACTAAAATATTATACTAATGGACACACAACTAAATGGAACAACTAATGGAACAACTCACGATGTACATATAACAGTTCGATATAAGCATTGAGTATACAAGTCAGTGGATACGTGTATACCCAATGATATAAGCAACGGCGCAACGGTTCTTGCAATTTATTGCTTATTGTTTTTTAGAGTTTTTCGGACTTACTCACACTCGTATAAGGTTGTCCACGTTTGTCATTGATAATGTAGCCATGTAACATGGTTACACCCATTGTCACGAATATGTTTACAAGTTTTCCGTCTGTTTTTGAATAGCGATACATTTTTTCACATACTTAAGAACCATCTGATTTTGTGCATTACATGTTCGTCTCAATTTTATTTGCTTTAGTAGGCATTCTTTTGGTTGATGAGGACTTCAATCGGTCCTTTCAATGATTGCTCATGAAGTATAGTACTTTGTCCATTAATTTTTATTGTTTGGTAAAATGGATTAAATTATCCAGCAAACCCAAATTGAAATAGTAAATATAGTATTTCAAACAAATCAGTAACATGTTAATAATGTAGCCTACATTATTTCCTTGAATTGCATAACAGCAATTAATTGGGCTGATCCTAATATAAATAAATCAATATGTTCTTCATAGGCATAGCATGGGTTCATAACATGAGCCGCTGGGGCTGAGCCCAAGGGATTTAAAAATGTAAGGTTGGTCTGCAAATTTACGTGACACGCTCTCTCTAATGAGACATGAATGGTCAAAATCGCCTAAGAAATGCGAAGGAGTTCAACGGAAAAATTTCGTGTTGGCGTTATACAGTATGGTTGAAAAGTTATTATCACTTTTTTATCCCTTAAGAGGGATGGACCACAAAGACTAAGACAAAATTCTTATATAATTGTAATACTATTTTACTTGTTTTTGAAATGGCGACCATACAAATGTATGCATTTTAAGCCAAGTATGAATGGAGATGAGTGTGTGATGAGTGGAGCGATCTTGTTGTCCTGTTAGTGACTTAAGGCCGACGTAATCCTTAGACACAGCAGTCAATTAATAGCAGCAGAGGTCAAGTTTGGTAGGTATCAAATTAAAGGGTTTATACATAAAAATACATTGCCGCAAACCCAAACTCAAACGATGATGATGATAATAATGTTAATGATGTAGCTAAAACGTATCGTTTGAAATTTAACAGCTGAAAATAAGTGAAATAGAAAAGGTTTTGGTTAAATCCATCAAATTGTAATTGGACACTAGTAAGTACTAGTGCACTTTTTGCTACTTCCCCCCTTCGGTTTCATGTATTCCTCTCAATTAGTTCAAACCTAGGGGGATTAAACATTAATGTTAATTAATGTTAAATCCTCCTAGGTTCAAACCGTAAACACCCAGATCGAAACTCGCCTGTCGTTATTTTCGCCTTATTTTTTTACTATATTTTTCAAAAAAGAAAGATTATATTGATTTACTTTGAATTTTAAAAATGTTAACGTTTTATTTTATTAAAGATTTATGGTGATACGTAAATATTGTGGTGTAGTAAAGTATATTATATTGTAGTTAAGTGTTAAATGTAGAAATTTTAGGGTGAATCGAGATGAATCTTTTTTTATAACATGGGTCTCTCCTACCTTAACATACATACCAAGTTTCATAGACATCGGTTGAAAAAGTGTAAAGATAAATACGGTATGTAAAAAATACAAAATGGCGGATATCTGGTTAACGAAACGATTTTGGAAAAAATCTTATCCTTCATTTTCTGTTTATTTTGACCCAAGGAATTACTAACTAGGTAAAGTATCTCTCCGCTTATTTTTAACACCCTGTTTATGATGTATTCTTATTAATGTAAGTGAAAAATGTAAGCTGGTAATACAGAAAGATGTTTTATATATAACTAGCTGTGTACCCGTTCTACGCACGGGGATCTTATAATATTCAGTTGAAACCTTCTTATATAAAGAACAGCAGTTGGTTTGCATATTTTAAGATATGCTGGCCAAACTATTATACATAGCTTCATTTTATGTTGTTTTTTGTTGTTCCGGATCGGTATGACAATCAATAAAAGGTTAAATTACCTCTGTGTCTGCCGGTCGATCCTATAACGGTAGGCTTACTTTTATTTTTACTATCTGATCTCGTTTGCATGGCTCAATCACGTCCTGGTTGAAGTTCGTTCGCTACGCTCACTCACCTGTATGTTGGAGCTCGTTCGCTGCGCTCACTTTCCTTCAGGTTAGCTCGTTCGCTACGCTCACTTGCCTTCAGGTTAGCTCGTTCGCTACGCTCACTCGCCTCCAGGTTGCAAATTAGCTGTTGTCATAAATGTAAAAGAAATAATAGTGCTAGTGCTGCACCCTGTTGGTAATCCTTGTAACTTTAATGCTATTGAACATCACAGAACAGAACCAACTTGTTTAATTGAAACAGCTGTTAAGATTCAATAATTTCATTTCTCATAAGGTTAACATGGGCTTCCAGAAATTCCACGTCAAAAATCGACAAAAACTTGATTTTCAAGGGTTTACTGTTAAATATCTAACTGTCTCATATTCGATGAAATACGTCTAAAACCATCTCATATATGTATAGTATTTGGAAAATAAGTTTCAGGCGGGACAGTGCTATAGTTATTGAGGAGTAGTTGTAATAAAGTGCGTATTTTAGCGTTACCAAGAGAATGACAGATAGACAGACAGACAGACAGACAGACAGACAGACAGAAATTGAGATAAGGTTTGATTCGGTTTCTCTGACCTATGAAATGTAAAAATAACCAAAAAGTTCATTATTCTAAGCAATGTACAGACAAAACTCTAATTTTATTTATATAGATATGAATGTACTGGTAATCTGTATATTCATCTTTTTCTTGTCCTTAGAACTGTAAATTAAAAGTCCACTCAGCAGTCGCATCGTACGATGTAGTTCTTTCCATGCGTTGCGAAATGCTAAATTTGCCGTCCTCTTCAACCAAAGTTATCTATTGAACCACTTATTGTAAAAAATTTTTAAAAAAATATATTTTACGCATCGCACTTTTAGCTACAACTTTGCCACAGACAAAACATCTCTAACCCAAAAACAAATAAAAATCTCGCATGCTAACTTTTTCATGTTAGAAATCACGATTTAAAAATATTTCACCATACATATCAATTTTTATTAATTAGATTGGTAAATAATTAAAGTTCCAACAAAACTGTCATCGAGTAGGACTAACCAAGAAGCTCTGTGCCAATTTTCAAAATTTTAGCACAACTTTAAGTACACCAAAACACGAAATTATTGAAGTCATGCGTCGAGAGGACTATCGCTCTTTTTAACAGATTATACTTTTGACCTTCCGGCACTGTTGACTCAGCGAAACTGAACTTATATTTTATCTTATTTCGTTATATTAAAACTGCTGTTGCATTAGGTCAAATTCCCAATAAGTCAATTGCTTTAACATAGACTACGTTTTTAGCCCGGACTGTACTATTTGACTTACTGGGATTTTTGATCTACAGACACTGCAAACATTGTAGTTTTTGACCTAGCGGCACAGGTATAAATTATTTGACCTTCCGGGACTGTTGACTTTCTGCAACGCGTCCGTCTTATTGGGCTGATATACTGAAAAACACATTCCAAATACATCAATAGGCTGTGCCTGTTGGGAACACATTTTTTTAATAAAATATTTTTTGTTGTCATGTCTGCTAGGTAGTGGAAATAGTAAAGATCAACGTTGAAACTAGAATAATGAAAAGCCACCATGGCAGTGGCTCAGAAGATACTCATAGGAATGTGACACGTACCATGAGTGCAGTGGATGGACAGTTACTGTTGAAAAAGTAAGACCCTGTTTATGTTAAATACCCACTGAGAGTGATTTGTGATTATGCAAGTACTGAGATACAATTTGCATCCTTTTTTGGAGTCACTACTTTTAAAAACTTAGACAGGTTTGGAGAAACCAGGATGGTGAGCAACACTACTTTTCTCCTCCATGTAGCATTTAATGCCTCGGCTTATTAGATCCAAGCTGTATACAAGTGAGTAATACACCCAATTTCCTCAACTGTAAACGTGAACATACATAATGAATCACCATCTGAGAGTCCAATCAATGTCTATTGTCCAATCAACTATTGTATACTCTGACTGAGAAAATATCCAGTGCTCTGAAAGTTAAGTGAATTAATTTAACAGCCCTAACCTAAATTCCCTTCATGCACAGCTGAGCCAGGTAAATGGAACATCTTCTCCAGTATCTATAGTCAATGTGTGTAGTACATAAAACCAAACTACCGGGTCCACCCGTAACTGAAGTGCATGCCTTACGCTTGGTGGTCCTGAACCCACCCGACACCCTATGCCACGCCTCTGCTCGGAAACTGTTGAAATTTCTCGTCAAAGGCACTCTAAATAACTGTGCACCAAAACAAAAAAAAAAACTTAAACCTTATGAGACATTAAAAAATAGTTCTAGATTATTTAATAGAATAGTAAATGTGTTACTGGTAGTAAAAATGAACAGACTTTGACCATTTACTGTATGAAACAAGTAATTATTATTATTAATTTCATGGTATTAATACGTTGGAATTTTGAAGACCATTTTAAATCTCAGATGATCTTTTTTTATGATCATTTTAAATTTCAGATGATTTGATAAGGAACTACAGTATGGTCCACGATAGTCTGCAGTTGAGGGAGAAGCCTATTTACCACGTGACTTTGAAGGAGCCAATGAGGACAGTACGGTATTGCAAAATCTAATAACAACAGCTGATTTGAAAATATTGTTTAGTATATTTTAATTAGTGTCAAAAAGTAGGGAATGGGTGATGTTGCAACGTCGCACTAGTCCAGTCTTTTTATTGGCTGCCGCCAACTGCAGACTCTCGTGGTCCCTAGTATAGGGGTTAAAATAGTCCTACTGTAATGACTAAAAGAAAAGACCAATCGAATCCCTCACTATTGTATACAAGAGGATCTAAAAGTATTTTTACAATAGGTATAGTATTTGTAGTTTTTCAGTTTATTGGTAAGATTATATAGAACAGATTCCATTTGTTTCAATGCATATCTGATAGGCCTACTTAAAATTTACATAAAAAATTGTTATTTGGTTTTTTTTTAGATTATAGTAAATTGTTAAATTGTAACTGACAAAAGCAATTTAGGAAAGTTCCTTGGTTCTGTATGTATTTTAATATTTTTTTTTCTGTGAAAAAAATAAAAATGAAGGAGAGTTAATAGTCTTAATAGAAGTGTTGAAAGTAGGCATAGTGGAAATATGCAAACCAACAAGTACAGTGCTTTAATTTGTTTACTTGGAAAATTCTAGAGAATATTCAACTTACTAAACTTAGTAGTTTTCATTTGACCTAGAAATTACTTGCACTACACAAATTTTAAATTGGCCTACAAATTGTAAATAACGCAGTGTTCAGAGTGTTTGGGATCTACAATCTTATTCTCTCCTTCAGGTATAAAAGTACCAAAAGATTTTGGTTTTTCTTTGGTAATTTACCAGCTTTGGCTGGGTTTTGCAGTACCGTCATCAATGTTTTAGGTACTTTTTTACCTGAGAACAAGATGATATTATGGATCTTGAAACGATGTGAAAACTGGTTTTTACTAATCCTTAATGACAAAATATAATCCAATACAACAAGTCAGTTAACACGCTGCAATGGTACCTCAGTATCGGCTTGTGATGATGTCTCCAATTGTTCGACGAGTCGCGCCAGTTGAGCCAGTGACTGCTGAGCCTGGGTGAGATCTCGTGCCGCCATGTCCAGCGGGGGGTTGGCCTCTAGCAGCCAAGCGGCCAGGCGGGGCACTTCCCTCCCCACCTCTGGCGACAGCTCTACACACATTACCAAATTTGATAAACTCGACCCATCCTGCATACATGTATGTCAAGAGCTTTTGGCTTAGGGATGCAATGGGGAAAAAAGAAAGAATTCACAACTTAAATCTTACAGATGAAAAGAGTTCCAGACATTTACCATACAAAAGGGTCAAAACACAATTAAATTGATATTTTGTCCCTACAAAAAGGCTTTTATCAGGAAGTAGTAGAAAGCATCGTTCTACTACAGAAGTAGACCTACTCCAATTATCTGGACCTATTGGTACCAGCGGACCCCATTTGGAATATAAAAATATTTGGATTTTTCTGGAAAAAAAACACCTCTTACCACAAGACAGTGGCAATAGGCAGAACTCATCATCCCCGATCTATATAACAAGACACTACAATAATGGACTCAACTAATGATGGATACAATTAAGCACACATTATAATGTATAACTAATTGCCATAAATCATAAAAAACAACAATAAACTTAATTTTTCAGGTTGATTTTATTAATTTTTTATGCTATCCTAATAATAGGTGCTCTTACGATAGGAGTTCTGCTGTACTTTGTATTGAATACCAAGACATTTTATACACATTTTATGACAAGTAAATTGAAAGGAAACTAATTGCAAGGGCGGTCCCGGGGGGGGGGGGGGTCAGGGGGGTTATGACCCCCCCAAAATATTTTTTATATAGCCTACATAAACTATTATACCAGGGCAACTTTAACAATTGTTATTGCAAATCGATCTACCAATTTGAAATTCATTGTACTCTTAACACTTGTGGCAAACGAAACTCTAATTACAAACTCTAACCTAAAACTCGGGATCGTTCGAGTCTGACTATTTTTCGTACGTTATGAAAAGTAGGGAAGATCGGCAGACGACGGACGCTTTCAGCCTATACAGCAACGGCAGTGTCCGATGCTGGTGATCGACGTTCGGCCGCATTCTTCTTATTTAATTTTTCGGCATTTAAAGTTATCATTCATTTTAACCTAGATGATTGAAAACTTGAATTGGGTATTGGATAAAGAAAAGAAATTGTGTCAATAGTCAAAGCTTGAAAGGTAGTTGAATATTAATTTATCAGAGTTCAGCGTTAGGAATTTATAATTACAGTAATGTAATTCAATGATTACCGTAGCAAATTTCAAAACTTTCAATATTAAATAGTATTTATATTTAGAGCACCTGATATCATATTTAAGAATACCACAACCCAATTGGCATATTGCTAGCCACAAAACAACAACAAAATGGTAGTATCTTAGACTTATGCGGAAGGGACGGATTTAATTCCCCACACAACCACAAAAACGTTGCACAAAAACTTTATTATCACATTGACCCCTTGTAAAATGCCACTGGCACTGGCGTAGAAAAAAATTAGAGCAATGAGAACCAATTCTTCAGATGGTAGCAGTGACGGGACGCCGACGGCAACGTTAGTTGGGTAGTGTACTTTGTGTAGGTTAACTGTTGCTTACTGGGCAGGTATAATGCAGTCGTGTTGGGTGCAAGTTCTTAAACACTTCTTAGATAAAATAAGTTCTCTGGTTCGAAATCTTGGTCTGATTTTGGACATTTTCTGTTTAGCATGCACATCGGCACCAGTTGAAAGGGTGTTTTAAATCAATAGTGCTTGAATGTGTTGTAATGTTGCGGTATTCCTTTGATATTAAAACCACAAGTCTCAATAATGCAAAAACATGACATTATACAAGTTTATTTTTAGAAATTTCTTTGACCTTTAAATAAACTGAAAAGCTTGAAGACATTAAACTAGGTCCTCAAAATAGCTTAAAACCCACTCATGTTAGCAAGTTATTTCCAAATTTTTTCCGGACCCCCCTCCTTTGCTGGGGGGTATTCCATACCCCCCAGGCCCCCCGGTGACCCCCCCCCAAAATATATGTCTAGGACCGCCCTTGACTAATTGTAAACTGTAGCATCTGTTTGGTTACAATAACTATCACAGCTAATATATAGATGAGATGTCTAATTCAGTGTCCGATGCTACTCACTGGTGCGGTGGACGTTGTTGGGAGTGTTCTTGTTGTCGTCGGACAGTATAGCATCTCTTGTCCCGTAGGTGAGCAGATGTTGCCGATACAGCCTGTGCTGCTTCAGCTGCTGCACCCACTGTTGGAACACTTCGTACTGCTTGGCCTGTACACAAACATTGTTGGAGATCTTGGTCACTTGCATACCAGAACTGCTATACAGATATTAAAATATACTTAAATCTTTATTCTGGCCTGTCTCGGTTTTTACAAGCAAAACATAAGTTTTTAAACAATGCAATAATCCTGCTCAGAATACTTGTATTTACGAAGAAAATTTCAAGTTCTACTGCTTCCATCGAATTTCCATCGAAAAAGGTAAAAAAAAGGAAACTAACACTTCAAATGACGTCCAATGTAAATACAATTATGACACCTCCTGTATCTATTATAATAAAATGTAACTGCCATACCAAAATCATGTTTTCGGGTGTTTTTTGTAGACCTTACCAAGCAATTTTTAGGGTTACTTTTTGTGTAAAATATTACATTATGCAACATTACTGCAGCGAAAAAAGGTTTGTTTAGCTATAACACAGTAAGGTCTAGGCATAATCAGATATGTAAATCAAAAGACACAATTTGTCAGTTAACCAGTTTGTTTGGTAGTCTTTGCTGGCCACAGTTTGCAGTAAATTGAATGTAGTTAATATCACACCCTCAACTACCACTAAACACACTTATCGTGAGGGTGTCCAAGGACATCAGAGACCCAACAGGAATATTGAGGAGTTTTCCAGTACGGTAGTTAAAAGATATCAGGTAGAAATAACATGTAATGACTAAACCTATAGCTAAGTTCAAATACATAAAAATAGTTTTCTCAACAATTTCCTAGCCAAAACCAGAAAACAATGTATACCTGTTTTCGTTTTGATTTCTTTCAATGAATCAAACCTTACACAAAACAACAGGAGAAAGTTAGCTGATTCTATTCATACCTTGAGATGATGTATGAATTCCTCAGCATCGATGTCAAGCCGTTTGCGTTTGCTCTTGGTGGAGATCACAGAGAGTCCGATATCCACGGATCCGTGTATCTTGCCTCTCGCCACGTCTCCTGGGCTCTTTCCGTACACAAGGATACCTTTGTCTAAGACAAAGTACCTCTGGAAAATGTCCAATGTGGAAGTTACCACCAGGATATATTGGTCATTTAAACTAAACTATTTAACTTCTAGGTGAATAATTATTTGATTTGATTTGAAAGAAATGTAAAAACACAGATAAAAATAAATTTACAATTCTCATCCCACCTTGTGCCATCCTTTGAGGGGCCATTTCCGTTTTTTGTGCAAGTACCCAGTGAAAACTTCAGGCTTTTTTTCAAATCTCTGTCCATCTTTCAGACCTTCGACAATCTCCCACTCTGAGCCCCTTCTATTGATTCTCTTGAGAACTGTAAATAAACACTCATATTACAACAATTTCTCATATAATCCAATGTTTGATTGTATAAATATTTATAATACCTACCAAAATAAACTTTAGAATAATAAAACAACACTTTGTACTAATATGTAAATGATTTTTAACCAAAGAAACAAGCTTAAAATTGTAATGGGGTCAAGGTGTGAATTTTTCACATGAGAAAAGTCTTTAAAAGCGAGGACAAAGAGATTGCAATAAAACCTATAACAATATTCAGGAGTATCTTGGTGATGTAACTATTTACGATTGACAAAAATGTTTTAAAATAAGTAAGTTGTACTTCTTGCCAATCTCCCTAGCTACCTCAGCTGTGCTGGACGGTGGAAATTGTTTTCTGACAGTAAAAGATTTTTTTACTGGGTCTTAAACTTTAAGCCTACAAAATAATATGATTCGTTACATGATGATCCAGTCACAGCTACACACATTTAATTAAGCTAGAGCAGACCTGTTGTGGGCGACAAAGTGGTTTACAGTTGACACAACGTAACATAACATACAGAGACTCATTTAACTCTTGCATGGCTTTCAATGTGGCATAATAAAACAAGCAAATTGACACAATGAGAATACTTTGGTCCTTTAATTAAAGGTAAATGCAGATAAGGCTTATTTAAATTTTAATGAAAGTGAAGGACGAAGGAAAAAATATAGATTTTCATTAATATCTAAGATTCATCTAATGTTACTTTGTGACTGATACACCAGGCAAATAACAGTGAAGGATGGGTGCCAAATCCATCAAATCATAACAAAGCAACTTAAACTAACACTACGGTGCCGATTTTTATTTTGAATTAAGAAACATCAATTATATACTATTCCAAAAATATAGACACACTTGCTGCAGTTTTCACAAATGTCTTGCTTCCCCGAAGCTACTCAACCGATTGACATGTTTTTGGTGTCATTGGAAAGAGCGTAGCATGAAGTTGTGCAGGAAACTTTCTTTTTAGGGAAATAATTAGAGAGTTAGGCCCTGGGAGCCTTTAAAGTTTCGTATTTAAGGGGATTAACAAGGGAAACAAACATTGTTATGAAACTCCAGCTGTTGTCAGAAATTAAAAGTGAGAAGAAGAACATATATGAAAACAGTCAATTATCTATGTTGTATTAAAAATGTGTATAGGTTTGGATGTTGGTTTATTTTTGATATAAAATACATCCAACAAGTAAATAATTGGTAGAAATAGTTGGTAGAAATTAATTTAAACCAATTAATTGACAATTGACTAATTTTCATTAAAAACCAATATCAGCTTATGAAACATGATAAAATATTTACATGAAATGTTGATTATATCGAACTGTTATGTACATCGTGAGTATTTCCATGAGTTACAGACCGGTAATCTTTGAGTTGACTCTTTTAAACTCATTGTAAATATGACTGTTATTCGTTTTGAAATAATTTCTGTAATACTTTGCAATTGCTTGAATTCGAGCAGTATGTACACTAGTATATGAAAAAACCCAAAGATAAAACCTTTTGCCTAAATTAAAAATTGCTTTTTTTACTTTGAAAAACACCTGTACCTATCTCTATATATTAATAGGCAAGCATGTTTCTTTAAAACCTTTTTTCTCAGCTCATGTGCATCACAGGGAAAATCTACGAATACTGTTGGAAAGATATTTTTCTGTAGATGTGCAGAATCCCTTCATAAATTTAAATACTCAAAAATAAACACAAAAAATTAATTTAAAATAAATAAAAATATTTTGGACCTTAAGGATTGCATGCTAGTGACGAAATAACAACGCAATACAAACAGAAAATCAAAACAAATTGAAGAAATTCTAATCGCATGTTTTATTTACAGCGTTTGGTCAAAATAGAGAAGTCTGTACATTACATATTTTTGGTCGAGGTTTCAACCCAAGGACGACCTCTTGTTACATGTCAAAATTAACACATCGATATGAATATAGGACTATATAATAAAGAAAGAGTAAGCTTGTTTTAGCGAATTTCCCTATAGGGAAGTAGCTATTACCGTAGGTGGCACGGTAAGACCTAGACCCGGGACCGATTTACTTTTTCATTTTGATGTCCCCAGAGGCCAAAAACACCATTCGTTCAAATTTATATATATATATATATATATGTATATAGACTTATATATATATATATACGTCCGTGAACGCGATAACTTGAGTAATTTGTGTCCGATTTTGATGAAATTTGGTTTAAAGGTGTAAAGCGGGATAAACTTGAATGAGTTCGCGAACCAGCACGATCGGACCATGGGAACGGGGCTTTACGGGGGGTTTTATGAGGTAAAAATTTGTTTTTCTCACTTTTGACCCTCAAAACACAAAATTTCCCGATTTCTCTTTAAACCTTTTTAAAGAGCTTAAAAAAACAAATAATTTAGTATATAAAAGTATTTTTGTTCGATTATTAGTAACGGAGAAAATTAAAAAAATTGTAAATTTAAAATTCCCATGTTATTCTTATGGAGAATATTGTCAAATGTTGTAGTTTGCTTGTTTATGGATATATTTTGATCAAACTTGGCAAATTTATTTATTTTGTACTAAGCTATCAATATTTTACTCAAAAACACACTTTATTAGTTTCCTTGTAGCAGCAAACCTAGGTACTCGTTAAACCTAATGTTATTTAAATATATTTAACTGAAAATCAATTCAGACAAATGGAAATTCGCTTAGTCGGCAGGTTTGCTGCGGCGGGGGTATTTACTTGAGAGTGTATTCAGTGAGAAAATTATCTTTCACGCATATTGATTGGAAATCCATTAAATATTTTAGAACAGAAATTAAAAAGTTTAATCTAAATTTTGTAACTCATAAAATTATGACACAGCCAAAAAGTAGCCAAATGTATCACATATATTCTATTATTTAAAAACAAGTTGTGTTTACTAAATATCTAATCAAGTAAATAATTCAAAATTTTACATTAATACATTTCTTATACAGAATCAGCAAAGGGTAGGGACCTACTATTTTATAAGGATCAGGATCATGATTACAATTTATTTTTCTCACTTATCAGTGCACTCTACAATAATGACAAAAATATATTATTCATCCCAAACACTCAGTTCTATTTAGAATTTGAATGTGATTCAACCATTTGAATTTAGCTATGACAAATGTAGTGACAAAACCATAAGAAAAACTATATGACGTGAAAGTAAGAGAGACAGAAGACTGTCATGTGTTTTATAAGTCTGTTACACATATAATTAATACGCTACATGAAACTTTGTCGGTTGAACTCCTCCGCCATTTCTTAACCGATTTTATCCATTGACGTCTCATTGGAAAGAGCGTGTCGCGTAGATTTGCAAACTGGCCTTACATTTTTGAAAAAGTCCCTTGGGCTCTGCCCCAGTGGCTTTGAAAGTTCCCATGTTATCCTTATGGAGAACTTAGTTGTTTACATTTTGATCAGCTGTATAATTTAATTGCTGTTATTTATTTTTCAATTCAAAGTCTTTTAACCCTTTGCACTCGTTTTACATTAATACAACTCTTATACAGAATCAGCAAAGGGTAGGCACCTACTATTTTATAAGGATCAGGATCATCATTACAATTCATTTTTCTCACTTATCAGTGCACTCTACAATGATGACAAAAATATATTATTCATCCCAAAAACTCAATTCTATTTAGAATTTTATGTGATTCAACCATTTGAATTTAGCTATGACAAATGAAGTGACAAAACAATAAGAAGAACAATATGACGTGAAAGTAAGAAAGACAGAAGACTGTCATGTGTTTTATAAGTCTGTTACACAATGCAAAGGAGATAATTGTCTGAGAACAACTGAGTAAGCTACAACCTAGTATGCATTTGGAATGCAGTCAAAACAGTCAACTAAGCATTAAATCTAGGTAAAAAAAACTTGAACGTTGCTGTTTATTTTAAGAGCTATCCTTTGTTTTCCAAGTACCCAAGCCACGAGTTAAGGAAGGTTCTACATAATGGTAAACAAACATTAGTTATAGTACTAGAGTCAGTACCGGTAGGCTTACCTGGTCAAAATAAATTGTAGCCTAGGTTTTTATATCAGTACAGTTGGTATCTGAATGAATAGTATAGGCTACTCATATTTTAAAGTAAGTCGTATTGACACTTTTTAATTGTGCAACATAGGCCTATTCATAATATATTGGTTACATATAAGTATGTGTCTAATTGTTTAAATTATGAATGTGTTTGTAATTGGAATTTAGAAAGGAGCACAATTTAAAAAACATGGGTTGGAAATTGTCCATGGGAGATAGTCTAAACTTCAGGAAAATCTCCTAATTTATAAGCAACCCCAAAACCAAATCAACCACTTTAATTTTAACAACAACAACTAAATTTAAATAACAGATTAATTATTCGCCTGTATTGTAGCTTCCAAATTATTAAATTTTCAATTACAACAATTGTAGAAAACCAGGAAAAATGTAGCGATTTTATTTAATTGTTGAATAGTACCAGGAATTTTTAATTTTAAAATAATCACAATTTGCCTATGGCTGACGCCCACTCATAACTGTCGATCCGTTGGTTCTATACTCAAATATAACAATATATGTGATAGGAACATCAAAACAAACTTCATATTTTACAGGAAGAATTAGAAGACATGCACATTTCAAACTCAATGATATAGGTTGCATAACAGCTGTTAATTCAGATCAGCTGATTCTATTAATTCCAGTAGAGTAGGCCACAGGTCAAGATTAGCATCTAATACACAACCTTAGCTGCAGCTTACTGCAATAACTCCAATATCTGAATGTTAACACTGAACAAACCTGGTTCTTTTGACGGGGGTATCTTTGACACCTGGTCATTGTTGGAATCAACAGAGAGACTGTTACTTTCAACACTTCCATCCTGAAACAAACAGAGAATGCAATTTATAGGTTTATTTCAAATCATAGTAATACAGCATCACTCCTACAAACTCAGTGTAATATGGACTGGAAGAGTACATAGTTAGAGAAATGACAGTGTAACGGGAAAAAGGGCCAAAAGTTAACTTCATTCTGTGTCTGTTATAGTTTGTTTGTTTATGAAAATATTTTGATCAAATTTGGAAAATTTATTTATTTCAGCCTCACCAAAAAACACTCTATTAACTTCCTTGTAACAGCAAACCTATGTAATTGTGAAATTAAAGTTATTTTAATAATGAATCAATCTGACATTTTTACGGGGATATTTTAGTGATAATAAAATTAGGCAAATAGCAATTCGCTTAATCTGCAGGTTTGCTGAGGCGAGGGTATTTTAATTGTATTGTATTTAGGTTGTATAATTGTATAAATGTACAGCCTATTTTTATAATTAACAAGTATGTTTTATCTATGGTCTTACTTATCTCTGTGATCTACTCATTTCTACTAATCTTACTTATTTCCTATAATCAAGGACAAAATCATAGACTAAATAAAATTACCTCATAGTTCTACAGATTTTTTTATATCCATCCAGCTGTTAGTCCGAACAAATTATATTGCACTAAAACAAACCTAAGATCTTAAGGACTGCTATAAAAATTAAATTAGAACAGCTAATATTTTACCATGTATATTTAAATCATCTGTCATCCTCTTACTGAATAAATTAACGTATCAATGATTATAGTATTACAAATAGTATAAATAAATCAACCCTACGTAGTATCATAGATAAAACATACTCCCTTAGTAGATTTCTCATCCTTATGGAACAGCTGAAGTCAATTTTATTGTTAGTTCATGTACGGTTTATGTAGAGGTCGTGTTTTGTTTACAATTTGTTTCCCGTTATTACAGCCATTTAAAACCTCGTTTAAACAAATAATACGATCTAATCATAAACAATAACTTGTCCCCCAGTTATATAACCAAACAGTAAAGCACAAATCAAGAAATTAACCCTAAAATAATGGAAACAAAGTTTCATCGACACTAGCGCCTTTGTGTCACGTACATGAACTAGACACGAAAAACGTGCTTCAAAATTTACAATGGGATGAGAAGTCTACTTGTGTTGGTTAGTCTATGGTAGTATGTCATTTGATTTTAAATACTGAATTTGTGTCACAAATGCTGAATGTTTACAGCTGTTGCGTTAAGCAAATGGTAATGGTACTACAGTAGAACCTTTAAAACAAGGACTCTCATGGGGATTGTGAAATAAGACTTGTTATCAAGGTTAAATTCTTATCGAGGTTTGTAATAACATGTGATTAGGGGTAAAATAATTTTAAGGGGATTAGAAAATGACACTTGTTATCAAGAACGACTTGTCATCAAGGGTCTTCTTATCAAGGTTCCACTGTATATCAAAAGCTATTCTAGAATGTTAGCGTCAGCTGCTAGACTTTCATTTATTTTTCTATCACATGTAGGACATTTTCAATTCTTTGACAACACACAATAGTCTCTCTAATGTAATGAAAGATGATAAATATTTACAATTGCACTATCCAAACAACTAAATTTATTCTGTTATTTTCTCAGAACAATATGTTTTACAAACTACAGAACTACTTTTATTAGCCTTACTATAACTATGTTAAAGAACGCTAAGTCTATTTTGACTACTTCAAGTATCATGAAAAAATCTGCAAAACCTACCTACTTTAAATGCTATCCACCTAAATAAATATAGGCCTACAGTCGTAGCAGTAAAATGCATTGGCTGCAAAAATATTGTCTACTAGCTGTAGATATAGCATTTACTGCAGAAAAATAAATTGCCTAAACTGTATACCTGCCGTAACTGTAAAGGGATGGAATTCAGCTATCCTACCTGAGAATACCCCCGGCGCAGCAAACCTGCAGACTAAGCGAATTTCCATTTGCCTGATTGGGTTTACTAATTATCTCCTTAAAAATATTACATTTATTCCACATTTAAATAGCATCGGTTTAACGAGTACTTATGTTTGCTGCAACAGGGAGGGTAAAAGAGTGTTTTTTTTGTTTTTTGTGAAATGTTAATAGTTTAGTATGAAATGAAAACATTTTCCAAATTTAATCAAAATATGTTCATAAACAAGCAAAATACAACAGTTCATTTATTCTCCATAAGAATAGCATGGGAATTTTTAATTTACAATTTTTTTAATTATCTCCGTAACCGTTAGGCATACAACAACGCTTCAATATACAAAATTATTTCTTTTTTAAGCAAAACAAAATGGTTTGAAGAGAAATTAAGATATTTTGTGTTTTTAGGGTCAAAAATGGGGAAAATCAATTTTTACCCCGTAAAACCTCCTGTAAACCCCTGTTCCCATTGTCAGATTATGCTGGTTCGCGAACTCGTTCGAATAAACGTAGGTTTACACGTTTGTACCAAATTTCATCCAAATCGGATAATTTTTGCTCGAGTTTTCGCGCTAACGGACACATATATACATTTATATGAATTTAAACGGATGGTGTTTTTGGAATCTAGGGACCTCAAAACAAAAAAGTAAATCGGTCCCGGGTCCAGATTTTACCACAATTACTACGGTATTAGCTTATTCCCTATATGGGAAATTCGCTAAAAATTACAGATATTTTGTCATAATATAGGACTTCTTTGGAGAATAGATGGAAAAGAGCCATAAGTTCTATTTTTTGTTCTCTTCAATCTACTATCTAAAGAAGGCCTGCACTAGTACAAAAACTCGATTATGTTTTGTAACCTTTTGTTATGTATCTATTAGCCCCTGGGCTCTAATCTTCTCAGGAAAGCTAAATTCTATTCCTTTCAAAGCCAAAGAACAACAAAATCGGTCACATGTCTTTGCCCTTTAATATATTACATGAGAAAGATAGAACAAAGTGATCTGTTAATTTGCTACCACAGCCACATATTACACTGTATTTCATTACACTACCATAGCTGTATATTACAAAAGTTAGATAAAGGTTACCTACCATAGCTGTTGATTACATTAGCTGCAGAAACAATGAGTAGCTATTACCATTGACTATTGGATTGTTACTAAAAGAAAATGTTGCACATAAAACAAAAGATAAAATCTCAAGGCGTGTCTTCAGTTGAGATAAGTCATTTTTACTGTCACACTGACATGAAACCATGAATCAGTAAATTAAAACAATGAAGAGAAGTTTAATCAAGGTTCCACTTATGTCAATCTTAAGTAATCATAAGTTTTATTTACCCTTAAAAAATAATGCATAATCATATTTTAGATTCATTAAAATATCAAACTGTTATTATTAATAGCAAATGATAACTACTTTGATTTCTCATTCTCTTAAGAAAATGAAAATGCAATATTTTTGGTTAACACTTAAGGTACAACTTCAAAACGTACATAAGAAATTATTAAATAAAATATTGCGTAGGCCTAACAGTTATTAGTTTGGCTAATAGATCAAAACCACTAATTAGGAGAAATAGTTATTTGTGCAACTAGTGAGAAAAGTGAGCAATTGACTCACTCGAGAGAAATCCTTACTCACGAGCCGTAGGCGAGTGAGGAATGGTTTCTCGAGTGAGGCAATTGTACTTTGAACTCGAGTTGCACATTATTCTTTTCCTACAGTTACCATAAAACAAATAAATTTGTGAAAAAACATAACCTATTTTTACACAGAAGTGAACTTTTAATATAACATTTAATGTGAAGTGACAAATACAACAGTACAACAGCTGACCAGCTGATTTACAGTCAGTGCTGCCAACGTATTTTGCGCGCATACGACGTTGCCTGCATGTTACGCGCTCACTATTTCGTGCCTTCACGTTGCAAATCTGGAGTGAGACAAAGTAATTAGAGTGAGACAATGTTAACATTGTCTCACTGATGAGCGAATTGGCCACTTTGCTTTCTCAAATCAGTGAGAGAACATGTACATTGTTAGGTAACTGTAGGAAAATAAATTTAATATTACTTGTGTTATTAAAAAGATTTAAAAAATAATATTAGAAAACGCTAAACCGAATGTATTCAATTGATCAAATAATGGTGAATCAACTGAAACAAAATCAAGAGTGTTTCAAAATCAGAATCCCAAAATGTATATCAATCCAACTGTTTTTGCGATCCCTGATTTCAGTAAACCTTGGAAGATGGTCAAAAGATCCATTGCTTGGATTCCAAATTTAGTTATAAAAAAATATTCTTTTGTATATTCACTTATATTTTTTAAAAGCTGTAAACAGAGTATAGTTCATATTAAATTTGATCAAACCACAAATTAACTTTTTTTAGTGACACCCAAAAACTTAAAACCCAACAGTTATTTAAAGAGAGAAACCCATCTTCAATATCAATGACGGCTTATTCTATTGGTTGTAGCGTTTGCTTCTGCTGTTTACCAAGGTGTAGCTGTTATCTATGTACACATATTAATTACAAATACCCCCACCGCAGCAAACCTGCAGACTAAGCAAATTTCCAATTACCTGGCTGGATTTCTACTATAATATTACCTAAAAATTGTCAGATTTATTTCCTATTTAAATCAAATTAATATTAGTGATTACTTAGGTTTGCTGCTACAGGGAAGATATTGAGGTGTGTTTTTTTTTTTAATGTGAAATGTTTAAACGTATGGTAATTTTAAATTTACAATTTTTAAAACTATCTCCGTACCCGTTGGGCATACAACAATGCTTCAATATACAAAATTGTTTATTTTTTAAACTCTACTAAACTGTTTGGAGAGAAATTATGAAAGTTTGTGTTTTTAGGGTCAAAATGGGAAAAATCAATTTTACCCCATAAAACCCCCCATAAACCCCCGTTTCTTTAGTCTGATTCTGCTGGTCCGAAAAATTGTATGATGGGTTGGACCGAAAAATTGGTTATCCAAAATGGCTCTCCCCTCTTTATTTCGGTTAACTGGGGTTCTACTGTATAAATATATAAATTTGAAATG